GTCGGTAAAAATTGTTCATATCATCAGTTAGCCGAGTTTCTTCCCGTTAAGTGAGTATGACACATTTTCGTGAAAAACGGGGGGGGAAAGCCCGTTGCCCCAGCCGGCGGGGGGTATGGGGCTTAACAGGTTAAACAGTTGCCATTAGGGGTGACATTGAGCTCAAATTTTCGTAATTATATACCTCGTAGTTGGAAAAGTTCGCCACGATCTTCTTGATTGCGTCCGGGGCTTCAGCCTTGAAGGCCTCTACCCTGTCCGGGTTTTCCTTTTCCAGGTGGGTCTTAATGCTGTACAAGCAAAAAAAATAGGATTGTGTTAGATCAAACCAACCTGCGATGGGTTCATGTATGCAACTAGATATCTCAATCCTTGGTTCATTGAACCATCAATGAAACTCACGCTTTAACATATCCTTTTATGTATGCCATGAAGGATTTCTTGGTGAATTCGACTCTTTGCAGGCTGTGGTTGAGGACGATGTCGACGCCAGAAATGGTAGAAGAGTCATTGCCATCAGTCATCTCTTCAGCAGAGGCGTTAGCCCCAATCAGCGCATCATCGAAGCCCTCTGTCCGGGTGACGGTCTAGAGACATTAGCAAGGGAGCAGAGAGGACAGCAATGAAAAAGACTGCTTCACTTTATGTAGAAAGGACCAAAATGTGCAGACACAGCAACTAAATTGAAATGCTTAGCACAGCTTTGGCACCAACGCATCGGACTTGAAGGCCCAGCCGCTTTACCAAGAATACAGCCAAAATCAGACCTGTGTTAATTGTACTTTGTAATATTCAGAAACTGACAACAGCGTGTGAACGAGGGCTGGGTGTGACTTCAGTTAGCTCATCGTAAAGTAATGTTGTGCGTGTTTGGACCCTCCCCGAGTCATCCTGATTGGTATTGTCTTTAAATGACAACGGGAGCACTAATTACATGACTCTGATGATGTGTCACATGGTATGAATCAGATTATGGAAGTTACTTCATAACATTATTATGACAATGGATAACTGCCATAACAGTTCAAATTATGTTTTCACACACATTTGCTTTGTTAAACACCTCTTCTTGACTCTTAAGTGTGAATATTAAAACAATTAAATGGTGTCAATATCCCATAATCTCCATTCCACTAGCTGTTTTTCATTATGTGCCACAGCGAGCTGGGGCCATCTTTGAGCCAGTTGGTACTAAAGGCCATTAGCTTTTAACAGAAGAGTTCAGCTGATATTCAACCTTAAAAACAATCAGTTGTTCTGTATTTACCAATATCCCATAACACTCCATGTGAGGATACATACACGTCTTTTTAAAAACAGAATACTTTGGTGTGAAACATGCATTTTAACAAAAGACTAAGTGACAATGGAAACAAAGCTTGTAACGCACTGGCTCGCCTCGCTTGGCTCAGCTATTGTGACGTTGCACACTGCTGGAAACGCCTGATTCAAGCAATTAGATCACTTTCACCAGCAAACCCAATAGACTCACCTTTCCTTCAACTTCATAGAACAGTCCACTTATTGATAGTTTGAAGGTGTTGGAGAACATCTCATCACCTGCGGAAGGATACAAATGACACTTTAGAAAACATACGCCTGCGGGGAACCCCCTGGTTGCGCCATTAACTACATATCCACAGAACAGCTAGCTTTAACTCATCAGCAGAAGCTTCCCAACATGTTTAAACATCTTGAACGGGAGCCGGTTGGGGCTTGAAATAAAAAAGGGGGAAATTGTGTCACTTTTCCTAGTACTAATGGCCAATGCTTTGGCCACGTATAGCCCGTAACTTTTTCATGACCAAGGCGGTTTTCAGTTGCTCAATATCCTCCACCATCGTCCTGTATCAAATACAGTTATTTTTGCTATTAGTTTTACGTAGTGATGAGTAACACGGTAACGATTAGCCACTGTACCGGTCTATATAGAAACATCGACAAAGATTAAAGCTAACCGGCCTTAGTGTCACCGGTTGTATTTGCCAACACTAGGCATAGTCACGGTGCTATAGTTAGCCTCAAGCTAATGTTGCTGGCGATGATAACACGCGTTAAAGAGCTAACGGTAGCTAGCCGGCTAACTCTTAAATAACACGACACAGCCTTAATAACAGCCGTTACCCAATAACTACACAACACTTCACTAAACACGATGACTTACCGCTGATGACATCCTTGTAGATGTTCATGGTTGCTGCTTAGGTGTTGGAGTTTCACAGACAGAACGCAGGCCTGCCGCCCAAACAGCACGAGAGAGGGAAAAGAGCGAAGAGGCCGCGACGCTGTGTATTTACATTATCCTGACGTCATCCTGGGTCGGCCTGTTCCGGTCTGTTCCTGCGCGCTCTGCTGTCACCCTCGCGTGGTGGTCGAAGTTGGTACTACACCTGCCGGTCTGTGCACTGTCATCAGAATTCCTATATTCCTCCTACAAAGGGAAAATGTACGTTGTTACAGCAAAGTATAGATTCAGGCGAAGAAAATAAACACTATCATATACAAAAGGCATTCACATAGTATTTAAAATAAAAAATAATTCAAATGTACAAACAGAAGTCCACATTCAAGTAGTGAGTAGCAGCAGTATTTATAATATACAATAAGGTTAGCACTGTAGAATGAAGTGTGGTATATTACATTAATACAATTATTATTGCAAATAGTTGCGTAAAGATCCCTGTTACAGTAGTAATGGCTGGACTTGGCAACCTTTCCCCTCTATGACCTCTCGAGGTTCTAATAGAGGGTTGCGGAGAAGGCCTAGCCCGGCCCACAGACCTACTCCTTACCTCTAACCAATTCAGGTTCCAGTGGGGACCTTTCTCCCTGTGTGCCTCTCCACCTCTGTTTCCTACTTCTTACTTGCTACCCTTTTCCCTCAACCTATCCTAAGGGAGTGCATGTATGTAGACACGTTAGTTTAGCTGCTATAGGCTTGGACTGTTGAGGGGGGCACCTTACTCCGTCTTTCTGGCTGTTTGTACCTGTGTACTCTCATGTTCCGATTAACCCAGTTTCCCCCAAATCCCTTTTTTGTGTCCATATATACGCCGGGATCCTGAGTCGATGCTAATCCTGTTGCTGTGGTCGTGTGTCCTGGATCCTCTATCCTGAGCACTGGATCTGAGTCCTGGACTTCGAGTCGTGGCTGAACCTGTCTCTGCGGTCCTGCCTGACTCTCACCATACTACTTCACTGATGGCTCCCACAAGATTGCTGACATCCTCGTGGATTCATCTTCTTATTATAGACACATGCATTTACAAACATTTGGACTACATATGTTGTAAATGTATTATCTCTTCGATTTACACACGGCATCTATTGCACGTCTGTCCGTCCTGGGAGAGGGATCCCTCCTCTGTTGCTCTCCCTGAGGTTTCTCCCATTTTCCCTTTAAACTGTGGGTTTTCTTCGGAAGTTTTCCCTTGTACGATGTGAGGGTCTAAGGACAGAGGGTGTCGTATTGTCATACTGATATTCTGTACAAACTGTGAAGTCCACTGAGACCTGAGACAAATGTAACATTTGTGATATTGGGCTATATAAATAAACATTGATTGATTGATTGAGTAGCAGCTAGTAGTAGTAGGGGGGGGGGGGGGGGGGGGGGGTGGCATTGGGATATATATTTAAAAAAATCCTCTGGAGCAGAGAGAGGAGCTGTGGATTATTGTTATTGATTAGTGCATCAGTGTTTCTTAGGGTCAAACCATAGACTGTATATATAAACACATGTGTGTTATATCAAACACACTAAACTCACAACTTAAAATGAAAGCGTTTAGTTTATTTAATAAAAGAGCACATGTGCAATGTGAAAAGTGACAGTAGATATAGATCAGTTGCAATTTGGTTCCAAATATTAAAAAAAAAATTATAATTTTTTTTTGAAACACCTTCAATTTCAATTTCAGCAGGGCTCCGTTGGCGGGGTGCAGCGCCCCTCCAAGACAATGGCAGGGGAAACACTGAATATATTAGCAGCATATATTGCACATAGTTGTTGCTGTATTTGTTTGTTTTTACATTATTGCACATTGGTGGTATTTTACAACAGAGGTGGGGTCTACCAGGGGCCGTGGTGGTTGTAGAGCCGGACCACTGCAGGAAGAGGGGACCTGCGCTATTCAGAATCAGATTTCCTTTATTTGTCGAGGACATTTACGGTTTTACAACTGCAAGAGTGCAGTTAGTTAAAGTAGACTTACATATTATATAAAAAAGGTAGGCACAATAAAACCTACAATAACAATAAAAGAAAAACAAATAACAGATAAGTAATAACATTTTTCAAAATGTTACTCAAGTAAAAGTAACAAATATTTGACATCTAAACATAATTAAATATAACTAAATGACAAAATAATTTATATTGTATGATTTGATTATAATCATTGATCTATTCATGTGTTAATCAAGCTTGTAAAGGTGGAACACGTTTTTATTATTTAATTTACTACTTGGTAGCATGGGAATTTAATCCAGGTGTAACAAAAGTCTTATTTAAGGGTTGATTATATGTTCTAATCCATATCTGCCAAGTAACTAAAGGTACTACATAATGTAGTGGAGCGAAAGAACAATATCTACCTCTGAATTTAAGTAGAGTAGAATGACAGCATACAATGGAAATACTGAAGTGAAGTACAAGTACCTCAAAATCGTTTTTTTACTTTTGTTTGTAAATAGAAAATGAAGGAAAATTAATTTTCTCCGGGAACAGTTTTACATTTTCTTTTATCTTTGTGCTTAGGGAAGGTACGTTTCTACAAGTAGAAGTGAAGTCATAAGTCTTCGGTATAAGTCCAGGTCGCACATTTTGTCAAGCTGCGTCTAATAATGTGTTTTTTCTATAGATGTCATGTGACCCACAATGCAGCATTGTATCACCACACTTGACAGGTTGGATGCATCTTAAAGAAGAATATTGACAGAAACATTTGCTTTTCATTGTGCAAGGGCAAACATTTACATTTTTAAATAAAATCTAACAATACTTGTAAAGCAACTTTATTTTTTCTTTATCAGCATATTTTAGTACAACAAGCACCATTTCAACTCTGTGAATATATCTCAAACTATAATGGTTTTCCTTTGAAAAATCCAAACCAGGTGTCTCTGTCCTCTAAAAAAGGGACCAAATACCCAGGAGGACCAGCACGGCACATTGAAGTTGAGCACGTGCAAGACAAAATAGAAAACAAAAGAAAGAACATTAAAATAGTAAACCATATACAATTATTATACACACAAACAAATAATTTCAATGTATTGACAGAGGATGATAAAGATACAAGTGCAACAGAGAAAAGTATACTATGTCTGCCCCCTCCCACATACTACACCATGTTTCCCGTTGTGATTGTGTTAAAAAGGATGACATTTCCAATTCCAGGCTACCAGAGCCACGTTTCTATGATGAAGGGTCTACAAGTCCTGTGTTCAATTCTCATATGCCTAATGTTTAAGGATTCAGTTCAAGCAGGAGGGAACACATCATTATCCAAAGTCTTGTTTTATCAGACCAATAGCCTAAAGAAGACTTCTCATTGTCCTCATTTCAAAAGCTACAGTTGTCCACAGTCAGTGATGACCAGCCTCTTTGTGGGCGGGCCTCCCTTTGTGCCCAGCTCCCCCATCTGCTGCACCACGTCCATGCCGTCCCGCACCCACCCGAAAGACACGTGTTTGAAGTCCAGGTGTTCGGCTTTCTTCAGGGTGATGAAGAACTGCGAGTTGTTGGTGTCTCGGCCTCGATTGGCCATGGACAGAATGCCTGGGCCCGTGTGCCGAACATCGAAGTTCTCGTCCTCAAACTTGCTGCCAAAGATGGACTTCCCTCCGGTGCCATCACTGTTGGTGATGTCGCCTCCCTGAAAGAACATTGGGGAACTCGTTAGTCTTTGTACATAAGGGAGGCCTCTTTTATTGGCCAACTCATCACATCTGAAAGCGAGAATTAACATCCACATGTTATCTTCATTGTCACTTTAATCTCTGCAGCCTCAAATCAGTGCGACTTCCAGAATGTCCCATGAACGAGATGAGTCACTGATTACCAGTCCCTGAAGTTTAATATCTGCACATTTTGTAATAATCTGCCAATAGCGACCCGATCTACTACTTTTATATTGCTACATAATATATCTGCACATTGCATAATTAAAGTACATTACAATTATTCAAATCAATCCAATGTATATACTTGGTCATTGTGAAAACATTCTGCATCAAAGCTGTTTTTATTATTTATTTTGTACAAAATAACCATCGCTCTGTAATGTCAAATGTTTACACTAAAGTTAACAATGTGAAGGTGCCAACACACACACACACACACACACACACACACACACACACACACACACACACACACACACACACACACACACACACACACACACACACACACGCACACACACACACACACACACACACACACACACACACACACACACACACACACACACACACACCACACACACACACACACACACTTCAATGTTGTCAGCCCTGACACATTTGTTTCATACAGTGGTGGATAGTAACAAAGTACATTTACCCAAGTACTCATTTAAAGATATTTGTACTTTACCTGAGTATTCTCAGTTTATTCTTCTTTACACTTCTACAATTTAGAAGCCAATTCTACAGCTGTTGCTACTATTTACTTATGGGTTTAGATTATTGGCTAAAACAAAAATCTAAATCAATTATTAAATAAACATTGACATATATTTATACATATAGGTTCAGATATCCAGCAGCAGTAGACAATGTTATTCATAAAAGTAACCCAATATATATACGAATCTCAAATGGGCCATTACGCATTAGGACTACTTTTACCTTTTGATGCAGATACTTGTGTTTTTACATAAGTAAGATTTTGCATAGAGGACTCTTTTACATTACATTACATTACATTTAGCTGACGCTTTTATCCAAAGCGACTTACAATAAGTACATTCGACCAGGAAGACACAACCTTGAAGAAAACAGAATCATATAAGTACATCAGGTTTCATAGAGCCAAACATTTCAAGTGCTACTCAACTGGCTTTAGGTAATCCAGTCCTTTATTAGTATAAAAGTGCTTCGTTAATCGTTCTAACGCTCGAAGTGGAGTCGAAAGAGATGAGTTTTCAGTTTGCGCCGGAAGATGTGCAAGCTGGGGAGCTCATTCCACCATCTTGGAGCCAGGATAGCAAACCCACGTGTTTTCGCCGATGGGAACTTGGGTCCCCCTCGCAGCGAGGGCGCAACGAGTCGTTTGGCTGATGCAGAGCGTAGTGCACGCGCTGGGGTGTACGGTTTAACCATGTCCTGGATGTAGGAAGGGCCAGATCCATTCGCAGCACGGTAAGCAAGTACCAGTGTCTTGAAGTGGATTCTAGCAGTTACCGGAAGCCAGTGAAGGGAGCGGAGGAGCGGAGTGGTGTGGGAGAATTTAGGAAGGTTGAAAACCAGACGAGCCGCTGCATTCTGGATGAGCTGCAGAGGTCGGATGGCACATGCAGGTAGACCAGCCAGGAGGGAGTTGCAGTAGTCTAGGCGTGAGATGACGAGAGCCTGGACCAGAACCTGAGTCGCTTTCTGAGTCAGCTGGGGACGTATCTTCCTGATGTTGTAAAGCGTGTATCTGCAGCAGCGGGTTGTAGCAGCGATGTTTGCAGTGAAGGACAGATTGTTATCTAGGGTCACACCCAGATTCCTTGCAGTCTGAGTCGGGGAAACAACTGAGGTGCCGATGTTGATTGTCAGGTCAAGAGTTGGACAATCTTTTCCCGGGAGGAAGAGCAGCTCAGTCTTGTCAAGGTTGAGCTTGAGGTGGTGAGCAGACATCCACTGAGAGATGTCAGCTAGACAAGCAGAGATGCGTGCGACGACCTGGGTCTCTGAGCGGGGAAAGGACAGAATTAATTGGGTGTCATCAGCGTAGCAGTGGTATGAAAAACCATGCGGGCTAATGACTGATCCGAGCGAGTTTGTGTACAAGGAGAAGAGGAGGGGACCAAGAACAGAGCCCTGAGGGACCCCCGTAGTTAATTGACAAGGGTCGGACTCAGACCCTCTCCAAGTCACCCTGTAGGTACGGTCTTTCAGGTATGAGGTGAGGAGGGAAAGTGCAGAGCCTGAAACTCCAAGTTTTTGGAGAGTGTGAAGGAGGATCTGATGATTCACCGTGTCGAATGCAGCAGACAGGTCCAACAGGATGATGACAGAGGAGAGGGATGCAGTTTTGGCAGTGTGCAGTTCCTCCGTGACAGCAATGAGAGCAGTTTCTGTGGAGTGACCTGCCTTGAAACCAGACTGGTACGGATCCAGAAGGTTGTTCTGATTGAGATAACAGGAGAGTTGTTTAAAGACAGCGCGTTCAAGTGATTTAGACAGGAACGGGAGGAGAGAGACAGGCCTGTAGTTTATAACATCAGACGGGTTGAGAGTGGGTTTCTTTAGGAGAGGGTTTACTCTTGCCTCCTTGAGACTGTTTGGAAAGTGACCAGAAGTTAGAGAAGTGTTGATGAAATGGGTGAGAAACGGTAGAATATCAGGAGCGATAGTCTGAAGGAGGTTTGAAGGGATAGGGTCCAGAGGACAGGTGGTAGGGCGGGCAGAGGTAATGAGGGTAAGAACCTCACTTGGAGAGAGAGGAGAGAAGGAGGTTAGTGTGTTGGTGGAAGGAAGGTCTGGTGACCCAGCGATGAGTAAAGGTGAGTCAGAAAAAGAAGAGCGAATATCATTAACCTTTTTTTCAAAGTGGGTAACAAAGTCGCTTGACAGAAGTGAGGAGGGGGGAGGGGCTTGTGGAGGGTCCAAGAGGGTGGAGAAGATGGAAAATAGTTTTTTAGGATTGGAATAGGAAGATTGGATCTTATCTTGAAAGAAAGTGCTTTTTGCCTGAGAGATCGAAGCAGAGAAAGAGGAGAGGAGAGCTTGATAGGTTAGGAGGTCGTCACGGTGTTTGGATTTCCACCATTTCCGCTCTGCTGCCCTAAGGACGGTTCTATTAGCACGCAGTGCATCATTTAGCCAGGGAGCCGGAGGGGACTGACGAGCCTGCCGAGATGTCAGAGGACAGAGAGAGTCCAGAGTGGATGAGAGAGTAGAGAGGAGAGTTTCTGCAGCAGAGTTTGGAGGCAGTAGTTGGAACGAATCAGAGGAAGGGAGGGCTGAGAGCACCGACGAGGCAAAGGTAGAGGGAGAGAGGGAGCGAAGGTTACGGCGGACAAGTGTAGGATGGGAAGAGATTAGTTTGTTATGTTTGGAAAGGGATAGAGAGAATGAAATGAAGAAGTGATCGGATGTGTGGAGCGGGTTTACAGAGAGGTTAGAAGTAGCGCAGTTCCTTGAGAATATGAGATCAAGGACATTGCCAGCTTTATGAGTCGGTGGGGACGGAGAGAGTGAGAAAGCAAAGGCGGTTAACAGAGATGTTAGTTCGTCTATCTTCCCCATCTGGAGGTTGAAGTCTCCGAGAAGTACAGCGGGAGGGCCAGTTTCAGGGATGTGTGAGAGGAGATGATCTAATTCCTCCAAGAAGTCCCCCAAGGCGCCTGGTGGACGGTAGAGAACAACAATGGTTAACTGTATAGGATGGGTTACTGTGACGGCATGGAACTCAAAGGTGGAAGGAGTGAAGTTAGGTAGCTTGAAGAGGGAAAAGCTCCATTTGGGAGAGAGCAGGAGACCAGTGCCACCTCCTCTGCCAGTTGGTCTGGGTGTATGGGAGAAGGAATATGCAGTGGAGAGAGCTGCTGGGGTGGATGTGTTGGATGGAGTAATCCAGGTCTCAGTGAGAGCAAGGAAATCCAGAGACTGCAGGGAGGTGTAGCCAGAGATGAAGTCAGCCTTAGGAACAGCTGACTGGCAGTTCCACAGGCCACCTGAAACTAGATGTTGGATCTCAGTGGAGCACGTGGGATAGACGAGAGCAGGCCGGTTATATCGATTACGAGATACACGGGGCCAGTGATAATTGCGAGAAGACACATGAACAGGAATGGAGAAAATACACATGATTATAGCATGAGGGGCTAAACAACAAAATTAAAAATTAAAAACACCAACGATACTTAGCTCAATCAAAGTAGGATTTGCCTCCTCTTTGCCTCCCTCGTGACTCCCGTAGGACTCTAATGTCTTTGTCAGTCTTACTCCTGTAGGACTCTAATGTCTTTGTCAGTCTTAGCCTGTCTGCCGCTGAAGCTGACGCTCCAGGAAAGAGCTACCCGAAATGGACGCCTGATTGCTCAGTTCTCACAGCTGAAGTTAATTAGTTAACTATCTACAGCTGATGGGCGACAATAGACTGGCCCTGCCTATGTTAATAATGCAGGCTTGAGTGCTGAGAGCTGTAAAGCAGGTTTCGCCTGAGCAGATCTGAGATTTTAAATCTCTCAAAAGCGATTTAGCCGTTTAAGCTACAGTAACAATTATACAGAGTCGAATAAATGAAACCGAGAAGTCTAATTAAACAAGAATATAACTTACAGTGGTTGCTGCGTCAATAGGTAATGTTGTCACCGGGTCCAGATGCACACTCTTACTTCTAAAATAGTATTTACGAAATGTAGTATTGTTACTTTTACTTAGGTAACAACTCTTCCACCAGGTTCCACATCATACTTAATAAAGGTGCAGCTTTGGTCACGTGTAAATATGTGTGCTGATCTATCCTGATAGGTCCTCACCTGACACATGAATGCCGGTATGACTCTGTGGAAGATGGAGTCCCGGAGGCCGAAGCCTTTCTCTCCGGTGCAGAGAGCCCTGAAGTTCTCCGCCGTCTTGGGGACGATGTGAGAGAAGAGCTCGATGGTCAATGTGCCCAGCGGTTGTCCGTCGGCCGTCACCGTGAGGAACACCCGGGGGTTGGTGTCTCTGGAGTGCTCCTGAACTCTGGACATCTGTGGCGTCGAGTGGAACGCGGCGTCGCCTTCTGTCTGGCCCGAGCGGCTCTGACACTCGCAGAAGGTCTTCTTGAAGGCTTCCATTATTTCAGGGGTCTTAAACTTGGCCGCCAGCTGCTCCACTATACCGTCGCCGTCTGTGAAATCAGAAAAGAATATGAGCAGGAAATCCAAAAGGCATCAAAACACTTGTTAGCTCAGATAACTGATTGACTAGTGCCTGCCTATAAAATATATCAATAAAATGGGAAGTGTATCACTACAAGATATTCTTCAGTAGCTAATTAGCATTAGACTTAAAGGTCTCCTATTATGCTATTTTTAGGCATATATTGTGAGTCTCAGATATATAAAAAACATGTCTATGATGTGTTTTGCTCAAAATACCAAACAGATCATGCATTTTAGACATCCCTCATATCCCTCTGTTTTAGGCCTGTAAGAGAACGGCTGATTCGGGTCCTTAGCTTGAAGAAAAGGAAAAAAAAAGAGGAGGGGGAGCTTATGCCTGTTCAGAATTACACGGCAGATTCAGCTAAATGCTGCCGTGATTAAACGCCATCATGTTCAAAACCAAATCAAGGATTATTTCTGAAACAGTATGGAGCTCAAACCTCAACAAGGTGAGTTCCTCTTTTTGTATTTCCTGCTTTTTTACACATGCTCTCTCCAGTACAGGTTAGCATGCTTGCTAATGTTAACAAAGGCCATATTACGTCTAAAACAGTCGGGCATTGTTTCTGATAGCAACGTTTCTGATAGTGCCGTGGGTCCACATTTCAGATATTACGTCATACCGGATGCAAATCTGGATCAGCTCCGTTGTACCCCCGTTTTTAGAGATTTGGGTACGGAGGAAAAGAGAGAGGGTTTTATTTTCTGACACTTTGTGAGTTCCCTGACACACCGGGGATACATAGTTATTATGTATAAAAGACATCAAAAAGTGCATTTTGCATGATAGGTCCCCTTTAACCTGTTCAGCCCTGAGCCTGTTTTCCAGGTCTCAGGCTTGAAAATGACATTCCCAGAACAAATGACCATATCTTCACTTCTAAAAGGGGTAAATTAATAATCTTTTATCTCAAAGCAATGATAAACCTGTGAGTTGGATGTAGAAAAGTCAGAATCAATATAGATTTTTTAAAATTTTTAAAGTAAATTCAGATTGAACACAGTAAAAACATTTAAATTATTGTGTCCGTCCAATAAAAAAAAGAAAAAAAGAATGGTTATAGTGAAAACCACCCTTGAATGATTGGATAGTAGAGTAAAAGCTTTAGGAATCCAAACTATAACATATAATAAGTACCCTGTATCAAGATTGATGCAAAACAAGTGACATTTGACCTTTTTAGAGAGATTTAGCACAAAAAAACACTTGGGTGCATTTTCCATATCTCTGGCCCCCTTCGATTTTGATGATTGACCTTCATTTGTAACCGTTAGAGCCAATAGAATTGAGGGGAAGTTCCTAAAATCCATCTAAACATTATCCATTGGTGAATGAGTGATGCGCAGCCAGAATGGCCCGGAAGCTGCGATACACTCTGGTGGCTATCATTAGCAGCTAATATGAAATCTCCGTTTTTTACATAAAAATGGAATGATGAATTATCAATAATTTTTTCAAAGTGACAGACACATTGGATTAATCTATGGATTAACCTTCAGCAGCATTTGTTATCGTTTTAATGCCATTGAACACAACTTTTGATCAGAATAACAGCTAAGGTGAGACGATCTCCCGTGAATGCTCCCTAAAGCTACGTGTTGTGATGTCTGAGTTTGCTTCTCCTGTCGCGAGTTCTGATCGCTCAGTGATGATACTTATACCTATCAGCTTTAATCTGATAGCTTGTATGTGCAGTTACGATAAGTAACAAGGGTATTTTTACCTTGAGTTCTGTGCTAAGTGCGTCAGCATTTTTTTCCGCTCAGGGCTCATTTAGACGCTTCTTGTGAGACTTGCGTTTAGTTTCAGTAAAAATGGTTCGTATGGTTTTTAAATATTAAGAAGCCCTGAGACAGTTTCATGAACAAACTACCCGCAGGACCCGGATTAGGGTCCTCTCGGGCTTAACAGGTTAAGGACAAATGCAGACTCTGCATCAACCCTCCTTCAGTACCTGAGTAGTCGGTGGCGGTCCAGATCAGCGCGTTGGCCGAGGCGTTCATGGGTTTGAGTTCCATGGCTGGTATGATGGTGTGGTTGGCACACACCCTCAGCACCTGCTCTCTCCTCATCAGGATCCGGTAGAAACGTTTGCTCGGGTGATAGAGGATCTTCAGGTCACCGACGCCGCGCTCCTTCCACTGGCCGAGGTCGCGGTCCCATCGGTACAGCTTGGCGCGCTCCTTGAACAGGATCTCCTCATCCTCCTCTCCAGATTTGGTCTCCACCTGAGAGGCGCAGAGACGAGGAGTTATCCTGAACGCATCACTTCAATTAATGTGGAAAATGGAAAGCTACAGTATGACAGCTCAGTTTAACGTACCTCTGGTAGTGACACGATTGGCTCAAAGTGAATGTCCCCATTATTAGCGTCCTCTTCATCACTGCCTTCCTCACCGTTGTCGTTTTTTGGCGCAGAGCTCATGCCCGCCCTGAATACCGTCGCTCCAGCGTTTGCCCATGAGAAGTTGGAGTCTTCATAAATGAAAAGCAATAGATGGTGGTGAAATAAGACGTTGTTGCTAAGACAGTCGGTTGCCAAAAAGACTTGAGAAAATGTAGAAGCTCACCTTGACCTCCAAATGCAAACCCGTCTGTGGTTTGGGCCAAATCAGCAAAAGAGGAACCTCCCAATGTCACGAAGCCAAAGCCGGAGGAGTCTGTGGAGGGCGGCAAAAATATATCATCAAATACTGCATTATATTCAGGAGTACAGCCAGCAGCATGATGGACACAACAACACACACTGTGTAAAGTCATCTGATGATACAGCAATGCATTCAATCTGATGATAAAGATTTTCATCGTGTTGAAAGAACTATTCTGATCCTCAACTTAAAAGTACTACAATGTAATAATAATTACAAATTCTTAATACCTTAAAAGTATAAAAGCTTCATTTATTCAAGATATCACAGAACAGATAAAGACACCAGTAAATCAAGGTGAGCTGTGTAAAAAGTAAAAATATCACTGATTACTGCTGTGACAATACACTTCGACTAGGAGGCAGGGTTATAGTAAAAGAAAGAAGAAACAAAAAATAAGCAGTTCAGAATGTTGGCCATGAGCTGAAACTAGTGCTGCGTACCTGGACTCACATTCAGGTTCAGGTCTGGACTCAAGTCCAGAGGTTCAGGTTCAGGTCTGGACTAACCCATGGCTTGTGTCAAGTTGTGTGAGTAACTAAAGTGAACTTATTGTGAGCTAATTATCAATTGAAAATTAACTCATAATCAACTCAAATTCAAACTCGTCAGGTTTATTGTGCTCCCTTCCAACTTGTGTCTACATTTCTCTACAAAGTACAAATGTAAAAAAAAAAAACCTTTTTGCCACTTAGTCTACAAATGACTTATGACAGCAACTACAGTGAACTACTACAAAGTTCAAACATTTATTTCACCAAACAAAGGAGTTAGCTACACCAGGGGTTCCCAACCTTTATTGTGCCAAGGACCGGCAGATACATAAAAAAAAAATCGCGGACCGGTTGTCAATTTTAACTGATTTTAATATTTACTCACCACCAGCAGGCAGCAACAGAGGCTAATTGTAACAGCCTGAACAAATACTAGAACAATATGCATCAAACATATTAACAACGTTTAAAAAAGAACCGGTGTCGTTTTTTGAAAAAACTGAAAATCAAAAAACCGACGTTATTCAGTTTTTAAACCAAAACGGGAAAACAGATAAATCAACGTTTGGGTTTTGTTTTTATGATTTACGGATAATCGAGTGAATGCTGGGAAAACGAGGAGAAGGCGCATTATGAAGGAGATGTCCGGTCGCCAGGGTGTGTGGGTGCTGTGTGTGAGTGTGTGTGTGGACTTGGCATTTGTTTTCAGAAGATATTATGATAGTGACGTTTGTTTCCGGTGCACGTCCGACAGCATTTAGCACTACATCGAGATTAAGATTAAACTAATTTATTTTGGGAACACCCGCATATAGGCTACCTATGGAGTTAGCCAGATGTGTGTAAATTACTGTTCATGGTCATTTGAAAACAAATGCCGGTGTGGAGCAGAGCCACACACACACACACACACACACACAAAACACAACACAAATCACAACACCGCACACACACACACACACACACACACACACAAAACACACACACACACCACACACACCACACACACACACACCACACACACACACACACACACACACACACACACACACACACACACACACACACACACACACACACACACACACACACACACACACACACACACACACACACACACACACACACACACACACACACACACACACACACACACACACACACACACACGTGACTGGACATCTCACGTAGCAGCCTGCAGTCACTCTTACGGCCCGTCTACACTACAGGTATCGAAAAATGCTTTCAACGCTTCGCCCATTCATTTGAATGGGGCGACGTAGAAGATTTTTAAACTTCGCCGAACTGCATTGTGGGGAGCATGGCATGGCTTTGCAAGCATCACGAGCATCTATCTTCATCAAAAGTTGAACAATGTTCAACAATGTTCAACTTTTGAGGCTCGATGCTTGGCATCAGCCAATCAAATCCCGGTATGCAAATCTGACAGTACAAGCGCTAGCCAATCAAACCGCATGTATGCTGGGAGAGACTACGCAGGTCAGGTCATTATTAGGGAGTAGAAGCTCGGAGTCCCAGCAGCTTCTACTGATGCCAGTCCCCAACTCCGGGGACTTCGGGTGGCAGTATACGCCGTGAAGTTGTTTGCGGCCTGCCAGTAAACCCAACACAGAAGAAGAACAAGTGACGTCAGCGGCTTCATTTGCCTAATCCTCCCCAAGGGACTTATTCCGGTGTGAAAGCGATCTGTACTTAGTTCATGAGAACTAAAGAGTTCTCATGAACTAAGTCATGAACCTTTGTGGGAAAAGTACTGCGGTGTGAATGCGCCTAAAGCTTTCTACCGGCAGATACAGCTAAATGCTGCCGTGATTAAACGCCATATCATGTTCTAAACCACTGAAACTCTTTCTCTCTACTACCACAAGGAAAAGTACTTTTTTATATCCTGCTTTTTTACACAGTGATAGCGATACTTGCTAATGTAAACACAGACCATATTACTTCCCAAACACGTCACGCATTGTTTCTGATACAGCAACGTTTCTGATAGGGGCCGATAGGTTGGTGCGGAATGTTACCAGGAGTTCAACGTAAGGACAGCCCACATTTTAGTAATGTCGTCGTGACCACAGCAAATCTGGATCAGCCCCGTTAAACCCCCGTTTTTAGAGATGTGGGGGTTATTTGACACTTTGTGAGTCTCCTTTCACACCGGGGGTATAAAAGACATCAAAAAGTGCATTTTGAATAATAGTTGACCTTTAACCGAGATATTCGTCCCAGGTCTGATGTAGCATGGTAGCGAAAGGGGACCCAAGAAGTTCCAAAATTAAGAGATTTGAACATCATGGTTATTCATCAATGTGAATACATTTACTTTGATTCTTTATACCGAGCCCTTACTACTTTAAAACTAAAAATAAACCTTTATGAAAGACTGAAACTTAACTAAAACTAGCAAACACACTGAAGAAAATGTAATTGTTCAGACTAATGTAAATCGAAGTAATCCAGAATGGTTAAATATTGAAACTTTGGTAAGAAGGTTGTTTCTTAGAAATAACATCTGAACACACACAACAGGAGCACAGTTGAGCAGGAAGTGGTCAGTACCTGACGCAGCTGTTGGAGCAGAGAATGCTGCAGCCCAGGGGTTGCTCTCTGGCTCTGGGCTCTTCTTAGTCGACAGGTCAATGGGAGAGCTGCTGCTGTGAGCTTCAGTCTGAGGCTCTGTTTGCTCCCCCGGTGTGAACGTGATGCTCGAAACCCCAGTGCTGCTCGAAACCTCAGTGCTGCTTGAAACCTCAGTGCTGCTCGAAACCTCAGTGCTGTCCGTGGCTTCAGTGCGGCTGAATGTCGGGCCTGATGTTGGTTCCTCCACAGCAGGGCTGCTGGACGTTGGCTCCTCTACAGGGGGGCTGCTGGATGATGGCTCCTCCACAGCAGGGCTGCTGGATGATGGCTCCTCTACAGGGGGGCTGCTGGATGATGGCTCCTCCACAGCAGGGCTGCTGGATGATGGCTCCTCTACAGCAGGGCTGCTGGATGATGGCTCCTCTACAGCAGGGCTGCTGGGTGATGGCTCCTCCACAGCAGGGCTGCTGGATGATGGCTCCTCCACAGCAGGGCTGCTGGATGATGGCTCCTCTACAGCAGGGCTGCTGGGTGATGGCTCCTCCACAGCAGGGCTGCTGGATGATGGCTCCTCCACAGCAGGGCTGCTGGATGATGGCTCCTCCACAGCAGGGCTGCTGGAGGTTGGCTCCTCTACAGCAGGGCTGCTGGAGGTTGGCTCCTCTACAGCAGGGCTGCTGGAGGTTGGCTCCTCTACAGCAGGGCTGCTGGAGGTTGGCTCCTCTACAGCAGGGCTGCTGGAGGTTGGCTCCTCTAAAGCAGGGCTGCATGAGGCATTTTCAGCTTTGTTTAAAAGGACACCCTGAAACAAATCAAATAAAAATTTAAATAATACTCTCTAAATCAGGGATTTTTGCGGCCCTCATTAATTTATAAACAACGTAATTAATAAAGAATTAAGATAAATTATTTTGTACTTGTAGTACTGATACCGTCCAATAGACTCCTAGTTACGTCGCGAGCTGCGTAGATGATTTCGTTCGGCAGCCAAATACCGCAAAATAATCTGTGACGCGTTTGTGTGTATTGTGTTTGTTTCCCGGGGAAACACTCAAGAAACACCGGCTGTTATGCCTGCTGTGACGTTAAGTTACCGCTTGTAATTATGCCTTTACAAGCTTAAAAGTTGTATTTATCATCTGAATTTGGCGAAACAAGTTTAATATTCTAAAAACCAAGACTTTGTTTATTTGAAATCAGATGAAAACAAACTGTCGCGGACCCTGCCGTGTTATCTATGATTACTATACGCTTTTCATTTATAATTTCAGCGGGAGGGAGGGGGAGCGGCGCTGAGGAACAGCAGAGAGTTGACAGGTGTCTGTGTTGACATTCCCCTTATTGTGCGTCAGCAGAGACAGGCTACAAGTGTCTTAGGTTCAAGTTAGACAACTAATGTCTGGGTTAGTGTTCATGACTTGATGTTTATGTAATCTTAATGCACACACATTTTCCGTGCTTTCCAATAGTTTAATTCCACTATTAAATAACCAGTTCAATACAAACATGCCACTTGTACAAATTAAATAACATTTCAGTGAACTGATATTTGTTTAGTGAGCCTATTAGAGGATGTTCCTGAAAGATTGTAAAATGTCAATGAAGATGTCAGACTTAGTATATTTGTTAATAATTACATACAATACATGGAATTTGTGTGTGTGAGTTCCAAGTGAATAGGCGCATTCACACCGCGGTACTTTTCCCACAAAGGTTCATGCGAACTTAGTTCATGAGAACTCTTTTATCGCGTTCACACCAAAAAGAGCCGGTACTAAAATTAGTTCATGAGAACCTTTTTACCCCCTTGAAAGTCCCTGCTAGAGAGCAGGGACTTTTGAGCGGCTCTTTTGTGAGAAAAGAGCTATATTTCTGATTGGCTGGGCGGATTGCAAACCACGCCCCGTAAAACTCCCAAAAAGTTTTGTGAAGCCGCCATTTCATTATCCTCGCATTAGCATTATTAGCATTAGCCCAGCGCAGAAACGCAGAGAGACTAACTTATGGCAACACAAAATAAAACATGGGAGCGGTGGAGATGAGGAGGTGTCGGCGTTCTGGCGATTTACTCGGAAGGCTTCAGTAGAAGCTGCTGGGAGTCCCAGCAGCTTCTACTGAAGCCAGTCCCCAACTCCGGGGACTTCTGGCCGGGGACTTTGGGCGGCAGTATACGCCGTGAAGTGGTTTGCGGCCTGCCAGTAAACCCAAAGCAGAAGAAGAAGTGACGTCAGCGGCTTCATTTGCCTAATCCACCCCCAGGGATTTATTCCGGTGTGAACGCGATCTGTACTTAGTTCATGAGAACTAAAGAGTTCTCATGAACTAAGTTCTCATGAACCTTTGTGGGAAAAGTACTGCGGTGTGAATGCGCCTAATATGTGGCCCCCTGGTGGCCAGTACATCAATTATGTACCAGGCCGATTATCGGCGTCGGTGGGCGTCAGGCCGACGATGAGCGTCGACACGCCCTACTCAGATTGGTGTGTCCCGCACCATCGGGTCTTTTCAGCCGGGCCGACGCCTTTTCGGCCGAAAACCCGCCGATTCAACATGTTCAATCGGCGGCGGCGAATAATCGATTAATATTCGCCAGGGCTGTCCGATTTTCGAATTTGATCATGGTCAGTTTCTGTACACTGAACAAAAATATAAATGCAACACTTTTGTTTTGGCTCCCATTTTTCATGAGATGAACTCAAAGATCTAAAACATTTTCTATAAACACAAAATAACCATTTCTCTCAAATATTGTTCACAAATCTGAAAAAAATCTGTGATAGTGAGCACTGTGATAGTGAGCACTTCTCCTTTGCCGAGATAATCCATCCCACCTCACAGGTGTGGCATATCAAGATGCTGATTAGACAGCATGATTATTGCACAGGTGTGCCTTAGGCTGGCCACAATAAAAGGCCACTCTAAAATGTTCAGTTTTATCACACAGCACAATGCCACAGATGTCGCAAGTTTTGAGGGAGCGTGCAATTGGCATGCTGACAGCAGGAATGTCCACCAGAGCTGTTTCCCGTTAATTGAATGTTCATTTCTCTACCATAAGCCGTCTCCAAAGGCGTTTCAGAGAATTTGGCAGTACATCCAACCGGCCTCACAACCGCAGACCACGTGTAACCACACCAGCCCAGGACCTCCACATCCAGCATGTTCACCTCCAAGATCGTCTGAGACCAGCCACTCGGACAGCTGCTGCAACAATCAGTTTGCATAACCAAAGAATCTCTGCACAAACTGTCAGAAACCGTCTCAGGGAAGCTCATCTGCATGCTCGTCGTCCTCATCGGGGTCTCGACCTGACTCCGGATCGTCGTCGTAACCGACTTGAGTGGGCAAATGCTCACATTCGATGGCGTCTGGCACGTTGGAGAGGTGTTCGCTTCACGGATGAATCCCGGTTTTCACTGTTCAGGGCAGATGGCAGACAGCGTGTGTGGCGTCGTGTGGGTGAGCGGTTTTCTGATGTCAATGTTGTGAATCGAGTGGCCCATGGTGGTGGTGGGGTTATGGTATGGGCAGGCGTATGTTATGGACAACGAACACAGGTGCATTTTATTGATGGCATTGTGAATGCACAGAGATATCGTGACGAGATCCTGAGGCCCATTGTTGTGCCATTCATCCACGACCATCACCTCATGTTGCAGCATGATAATGCACGGCCCCATGTTGCAAGGAGCTGTACACAATTCCTGGAGGCTGAAAACATCCCAGTTCTTGCATGGCCAGCATACTCACCGGACATGTCACCTATTGAGCATGTTTGGGATGCTCTGGGTCGGCGTATACGACAGCGTGTTCCAGTTCCTGCCAATATCCAGCAACTTCGCAGCCATTGAAGAGGAGTGGACCAACATTCCACAGGCCACAATCAACCTGAGCAACTCTATGCGAAGGAGATGTGTTGCACTGCGTGAGGCAAATGGTGGTCACACCAGATACTGACTGGTTTTCGGACCCCCCCCGACCCCCCCAATAAAGCAAAACTGCACGTTTCAGAGTGGCCTTTTATTGTGGCCAGCCTAAGGCACACCTGTGCAATAATCATGCTGTCTAATCAGCATCTTGATATGCCACACCTGTGAGGTGGGATGGATTATCTCGGCAAAGGAGAAGTGCTCACTATCACAGATTTTTTCAGATTTGTGAACAATATTTGAGAGAAATGGTTATTTTGTGTATATAGAAAATGTGTTAGATCTTTGAGTTCATCTCATGAAAAATGGGAGCAAAAACAAAAGGGTTGCATTTATATTTTTGTTCAGTGTATAAATATGGCAGTCTTTCTAAGTGTTAGGTCCATTACCAGGTCTTGTTGAGCCTTGCGGACTTCTGTATCGAAGTCTTCAGGCTTCTCAAGGTCCGTGTCACTGTCTGTGGTGCTCAGGCCGCAGAAGAAGTTGGGGGGGAGCTGGTACCTCCTGGCCCTCTCCTCCTCCTCCGGTGTCGGCTTCTTCTCCCACACCACCTGGCAGTCTGACTCTGCATATAGGACATGCCGGTTTAGGGCTAGGTATAGCATGCCATGTAGTGAATAGTGTATTGGAAACATCATTATTTATGAAACAAAGCCCTAAAGATGTCAGTTGAGGATGTATTGAACCAACATTATGCTTGAAAAAAGCCAAAAGTGAGGGGCCAGTAATTGGAAAAAATAGTGCCATACCATCACCACATGCTGCAGCCTTTCTCTCAGGAGGATCCAGGTAGAGCTTTCCATTCAAGGCTTTAATTGCTGACTCAAAGTCCTCGTCTGAAAATTCAAAGCATATTCTCCATAAATAACTTTTATTTGCCATCATGTGAGTTGTTGATCCCACAGTTCTCACTTCACTCTAACATACCTGGGCCATACAGTAAGAAATAATCTTAGACAGTTTTTTTGTCTACTTCCCTGAATAAAAGTATTCAGATTATCAGAACGATGACGACCAGTTTAACAGACATTTACACATTTGGTGAAAGATATCATCAGATTCCAAATGCAAGTGTCAAAAGAGATTACCTTTTGTTGCTTAAAAAGAAAATGTGTTTAAATAAAACATCCTAATTGATCCTAATTTCAAATGTCAGGATGGTTATGTGGGATATACATGTCAATCATGCAGGCAACAAGCAATTTGCACTTTAAAGGTCCCATGTCATGCTTTTCGGGTTATTACCCGTCCTCTTGTGTGTTATGAACAGGGCTGCACATAACTGGTGCGCAGGTGCACACCTCGGCCAAAAAAAGAGCACCGGGTCATTTGAAAAAAGGCGCATTTGCGTACCAACATTGAGAGAGAGGGAGAGAGAAGGGAGAAGAGAAAAGAGAGAAGAGAGGAGAGAGAAGAGAGAGAGAAAGATATTTGCGAGTTGCATATGAACTCAGGGCCGGCCCGTCGCACTGGCGTTTATTTTCGCCTAGGGCGCCAGATCTGTGGAGGCGCTGCGCTGGCAGTTCTGGGAGGGAAAAAAACATTTTTGACCGTTGGGGCTCATCCTAATGTTCGGCCTTGATGTAACAACATTCATAATTAAGTAAATGTAACACCCTTTTCACCCCGGTTACACGTTTCATTCGCCCTGTACGATGGGCGCTGTAAGTGATGGAAATGGGGGATGTTGGCTTATCTGGCGCCCGCAGCTCACAGACAAAGTGCGAGGGAGAGAGGGAGGGTGCACCGGTACCGGCGCTGTTGTTATTAGAATCTGGTGCTAGCTGCGGATATAAGAAGAAGATGTTTCTACAATAATGTGGAGGGAGAGTCCTCTCCAGTCAGACCGAGAGACTGATAACTACAGCTCAGTGAGGTAAAGGACTCTGAGTGTTTAGATAGTTCACTTTAGTCTAAGTTCAAACGGTTTGGTCACAATTTATGTAAACACATATTTTCAAGGCACTCCTTTATAATTATTGGGATAAACAGGTTTGAAATCATTCCAATGTATACTATAGGACAGTAACCAAACATATCCTTTTAAAACTGGACTTTTGACCCAAACCCAGCGTTGACTTGTGGATGCAAGCAGCTAATCGCAGACTCAACCAGAGAGAAAGAAGTAGGCCTACATCATCAGCTACCATGTCTGACAGTGAGGAAGACAGTGAGGAGGACAGTCAGGAGGGTAGTGATGACAGCTTGTATTACAGGTCGTGCTAATGTTGTCTTGTGTTCACCTCTGCATGTGTGTTCAGTGTTCACCTCTGCATGTGTGTTCTGTGTTCACCTCTGCATGTGTGTTCAGTGCCGTGTGTCTGGCAAATAAAGACCGGTTTATTTATTTCATTTTAAGGATGAGCACCAAGCAACATCTCCAGGTGCTCCTTTGAGAACCAGGGCAAAAAAGTTATGTGCACCCCTGGTTATGAAGCTTTTATGCATGTAAACGGTCTGGAGAGTCACAAACCCTCAAAGTACACCCTGTAGCGAGTAAAACTCTAACACAGAAAAGACCTGTCTGCTGCCCCAGAACGCCTCGTTGGAGATTTCTCTTTTTCCATTGTTTTCTTCCTGGGTACAGTAACGTGCCCATACCCAAATGGATCCATTGGTCCAAATGGACCAATCGTGGAGCCCTTACGTTACGTTACGTCCGCAGAGCCGTTAGGTTAAGTGTGCGGATTGGTCCAAATGGACACATCTGCGGACTTCCTCACACAGACACTCAATCTTTTCTCAGCTGCAGCTCCACCGATTTCCCCTCCCTGAGACGGCGTTACGCGGCGAGGCTGCGAGTCGGTGTGTGAGCACACACACAAACTCCCAGCCAGGCTGTGTGTGTGTGTTCGGGCTGGTTTCAGGCTGTGTCTCGCTGTCTCGCAGACGGCCACTGGGCTCATCGGGAGGGGGGGCAGGAGCTCCAACAAGCCGTTTATGACAGAGTGAATACACATACTTTACAGAGATGCTGTATGAGAAACCAATCTGATTTTGGAAAATTGCACAATATAAATCTATTTTAGTATACCTCAACAATTTGATTTTAACCTTTATTTAACCAGATAAAAGCATTGAGAAAAAAATCTCATTTTCAATGCCGACCTGGCCAAGAAGGCAGCAACGTTACACATAACACAAACATATAAAATACAGAGAACATAACTAAGAAAACAAAAGACGAAAAAGCAGTCACTACATTGTGCACATTAGGACAGTAAGAAAGGCACACTACTTATTACTGCAAGAGCAGCTGGTGGTAAGGACTTCAGACAACTTCAATTTAAAACATGCTATTGAGACAAGTGCCCTCAGTTTTAGGCTTGATTGAAGGTCATTCCAAGACCAAGGACCATAATAAAAAAAGACTCCTTTTTCCACAATGGAATTATGATCAGTAGAAATGGCCATGACATGGGACCTTTAAGAGGATGTGCATGGTGATAATGAAATGACGGAAAACTATTAAAAAAAATTCACAAAATGAGGTTACAACGATAATAAAATTAGTTTAGGGCTGCCAATTTGTCAACTAAACGTTAGTCGGACAAAAAAGCATTAGTCGAAGAAAAAAAGAAATGGTGTGCTTTGACTAGCCTTGTATCAACATTTAAAGACCTTTAATATCTAATCATTCTGACCTTAGAAAACAATAAATTAAAGCTTTCATTCCATGGTGAGGGTGTAATGTGCAGAGGGATAAAAAAAAAGAAGAAAGAAGATATATATATATTTATAATATATCATATACGTGCGATGATTAATCGACTAATCTCCTGAATTGACGACCATCTAAATATCTTTACCATCAGTTTGGTCGTCGCTGGTGTAGCCTGGTTCATTCTGGTAGCAGAAGAAGGTGAGAGGCAGCAGGAGTTCCTGGGCTAAAGCTGCCTGTTCGGCAGTTGGTTCCCTGACATATACAACTTCCACCTCCGAGTCCTTGTACGACCCAACACTACCTCCTTCTTTCTGGGGGGGCCCTGTGACAGACGGATACAAAAGAAGCAGAACAGGTTAATCAGCCTGGGATCGAAGTGTATATTAAAAGGAGCTTCTTCATTCCTTTCATAGCCACAGGTGTTAGTTCCACACACACACCACAAATAAATCATGCACAAATGCAAAAATGAACGACATGCATTTGATTTACTAATGTGTGGGACAAGTCTCAGTGTTTTTTCATTTGACCGACTTACTGTAGGACACGTGGTCATGAAACATTAAATAGCAAAAACACCTGAGTTTTTACTGTCATTAGCCTTTGCTGAGGTGCGCATTGCCGGCAGAAGCCAGACTAGACAGGGAATTGCATTTCATGCTGTTGCTACACATCCTTCTCTAAAAATGGCACCTGTGATGTTCGCATAGTGCGTTCCCCTCTGAGGAAACACTCAGAGGAATCTCCCCAGCTCACCTTTCAGAAGACGTTCAGGTTTACTGATGAGTCTCCTGTTGCTACACTAAACTGTAGCTTGATTAAGGAAACGCTTACTTGTCATTAACCTTTACCATCATAGCATCTTTAGTTACATCTGTGAATGTGGTGTGTGTGTATATATATATATAAATAAAATGGCACATAAATTAGCACATTTAAACTCTCCTGTGTGAGACACTTTTTATTATGGCAAGAACTGTTGCGTGTTAAAAACTGCACATCCACACACTGGACATGCACCACGTTAGCGGTTTCTTTTCACTCCGTGCATCCAAGTTATTTCTGTCTAGTGATAAGGGCCAGCCAGATGACAGCTGAGAAGTGTTAACACACACAGCAGTAGTTAGAGTACCTGGGGGTTCAAATTGGGTAGTTGATGTGCTGGTCCAAAAAGCCATTGGGTTATCTTTGAAAAGCCTAAAATCCAGCCCTGAAGGATGATGGGTAGTTGGGCGAAGAAAAACTAATTGTGAGGCTGGTATAATAAAGAACATGGCTAAAAGTGTTAAAAATAAAAATGTGATATCTACTGTATATGTGTTTGAGTGTGTGTTGAATGAATTGTGTTTGATTTCAAGGGTTTGCAACATACTCAAAATGTATAGAAATAATGAAATAACATAATGAAACAGTGTTATATAGTGACGACATGAAGATTAAATGGGAAATCACTGATTCAAATGCAACTCTATCTTAGACATTTTTGAAAAAGGTCTTGACTGGGTCAACTGAAAAGATGGTGGAGCAAATGAGATGCTGATGAAACAAGACCATGGAGTATAACGCAAATAAACAAAAACAGTCGTGATACTCATTCAAAAACAAAATCAGACAAATATATGAAGTATTTTTACCTTTCTCTGGGATCTTGAAGGCTGGTTCTGCTGGTGAAGCCTTTGCAGAACATCCATCTTTGGCTTTCGAACCGGATGCAGATTCCTCAGCCTCAGAGGGAAATTTAGGAAAACCAAAAATCTTCTGAAGGCTTTGAGTGCCGAAGACAAACTTAGGGGGGGACACCACTGTCTTTGAAGCGTTGGCTGGACTTGGAGGCCCAGCTATGATTGGCTTACTTTCGGGGGGGAGCTCGGTACGTTCCTTTGTGGTCTCTTCCAGAACAGCGATGGCTGCCTTTCCACACAAAGGTGTAGCACTCTGGACAGATGCTGTAGGTTCGCCGTCTTGCGGCGTGGAATCGCTCTCTGTCACTTGAGTCATGAGTTCCTCTTTTTCTTCGGCGACCTTGGCCTCATCAAATACCCGTTTGAATGTGTCTGCAGTGTCCTGCAGCTTGAATCTCACAGCTAGCTGTTCAATACTTCCCTCTACGGCTTCAGAAAAGTCCATGGCACTCCAGACCCAGGCCTTCTCCGCGCCCTTCATGGGTTCAAGCTTCATGGCGGATGTGATCCGGTGGTTGGCGCAGATCTTAAGTACCTGGTCTCTCCTCATTATCAACCTCACTCGTTTGGTGTCATAACTCTGCAAGACCCTAAGGTCTCCAATGCCCCTCTCCTTCCACTGACCCAGTGTCTTATCATAGCGATACAGTTTGGCCCTGTGACTGAAGACCACCTGTTCATTTTCTTCCCCTGTGGAAACGTCCACCAAATCAGGCAAGGGGACCACAGGTTCAAAGTACTGGCCATCCCTCTCCTCGTCCTGGGATACGTCCTGCTCGTCATCAGTACCCACTGAGGCTCTGCTCAGGTTAAGCTTAGCAGGAGACTTGGAGGGGCTGATGCCAGGTTGGAAGCTGAAGCTGAAGCCACTGGTTGACTCTCCAAAGCAGAAAAGGTTTTTCCTCGGGGGGCTGCTGGCAAGAGGAGAGGCATAGACTGATGAGTCGGCAGTATCCTCTAAAGCCTCCTCTCTTAAGTCGTAGTTATCCCACTCTAAGGTGGGGCCGGTGGTTTCACCGTGAGGCTTAATTGCAAGGTTTGAGACATTGCTGGATGTTGCGACGTCTCCCTGTCTGTCCTCGTCTTTGATCTTTGTTTTCCCGTCTGTCAAAAAGAACTTCAGGTCTTTCAAACCGGATTTCATTTCCTCTGCTTTCTGAATGAGGCGTGCTGTTCTGCCTGTGTCGACGAGCTTGTGGGGGGTTTGTAAAGGAATGTCCAAGAGAAGTCTCTGACACTCTTCAAACTTCTCCTTGAACTCCAATGCAAGCTCTGGGGTTTTAAACTTAGCAGCCAACTGTTCAAGTTTAGCATCTCCTTCGGAGAAGTCACTGGCCATCCACCTCCATGCTTTGTCTGAGCCTGCCAGGGGCTTCAGATTCATGGTGGTGTTGATCCAGTGGTTGGCGCACACCTTGAGAACTTGTTCTCTTCTCATCAGCACCCTTAGCCTGCCATTAGTGCTGTTTTTCAAGAATTTAAGGACCCCTACGCCACGCTCCTTCCACTGACTGGAGTCCGAGTCAAATCTGAACAGTTTGAGACGCTGAGAATAAAGAACCTGTTCATCTTCCTCCCCCGTTACCACGTCCACCGTATCAGGCATCTGGACCACTGGTTCAAACTGGATGTCGTCATTTTCTTCTGTTTTATACATGCCTTCGTCATCTAGCTCATTATTTGCGCCTGTCTTGGTGGGGGTGGAGAACAGCTGCTCACCAGCCCTGGTGAAACCGTGAAAGTCCGGGTCTGCCTGGCCAAAGCGGAAGTCCCCTTCAGTGGAGCTGGCCAAGTCTGCAAAACTGGACGTATTGGTATTTCCAGAAATTAATGGATTTTGACCTTGCTCTGTTTGGCCCACTGAGGTTGAAGACACATGTTCTTGTTCCTTGTGCTTTTCAGCTATACTTTTCAGAAAACTGGAGGCTGACCCTGATTGAGGTGTTTGATTATCAGTGCAGGGAGTTTCTGCTGTAGAGTCCTGAATGCCAAACTTGAACCCACCGGCTGGAACTGGCATTGTGAAGGAAAAGCCTGAATCACTAGTGCTACTAGGTGCAGCCTGAGGAACTTCAAACTTAAAAGAGGCAGCTGAGCTTTTCTCTTTGTTTTGTCCAAACTGAAAAGTGCTGCCAGTTTCAAAAGGCATTGTAAATCCAGTTCCAGCAGGCTGGCTTGATGAACTCTTAGTTCCAAACGAAAAGCTAAACGTGGAGGCAGAGGCGCTGCTTGTGCTTTTAGCATTGGGATTCGGTGTTTGACATGCCAAACATTTATTAGCAGAGGCATGGTTTCTCACCAGACAAATGTCACAATCCCATTCCCCAACCTTCTTGTCAAACATGGCTTTTAGAGAGGAAGTGGCACGTGGAACATTGCAGGCAATGCATTCAGCAGCCGATGCATCATTTCTGACCAGGCAGGAATCACAGTCCCACTGCTCATCCTTTTTTGTCGCATCTGCCCCAAATCCTGACACTGCTGGCGGATTGGGGGCTACTCGAGCCCCCTCTGTTAATTTAGCAGCAGGGTTTGGGGTAATACAGGCCACACATTTGTCAGCAGTGGCTTCATTTCTTACTTCGCAAACATTGCAGTCCCACTGACCGACCTTCTTGCTAAACTTGGCGCCAAACCCAGAGGCAAATGCAGATACAGAGGGGGCATCTGCAGGTGGTGCCGTTTGTGCTGTAGCAGTCGTTTTCGGTTTAAGACTCGTACAAGAAACACAACTGTCTGCAGAGGCCTCATTTCTTACTTCGCAAACATTGCATTCCCACTGACCGGGCTTCTTGCCAAACTGAGCCCCAAACTGAGCACCAAAGCCAGCACCAAAAGCATTAGTTACTGTGTCAGCAGGTTTTGAGGTGCTGGTGCCAAAGGTAAATGAGGAGGGGACAGACGCTCCAAAAGCACCAAACCCAGTAAATGTAGAGCCAGAACTACTGGATTTTGATGAATCAGTCCCAAATTGGAAGCTAAAGGGACTGGCTTTGGTTTCACCAGCAGCTTGAATGTCTGGCTTGGATGAAGAATTGGGATTAGCACTTTGACAAGCGGCACATCGCATATCAGTGGGTTTATTTCTAACACAGCAAACATTGCACTCCCATTCCCCGTCTTTAATAGAAAATTGGGCTGCCAGTGATGACGAAACATTTACGCTTTCCTCTTTCTTCTCCTGTTGATCATTTTTGTCTGCCGAATTGAGCACAACTTGCTGGGCTTCCTCAAACTTGGCTTTGAAAAGGGATGCCTCTTCTGTGGTTTTAAAGCGGATGGCCAGCTGTTCGGTCTTAGGCTCTTCGTCTGCATAATCGATGGCATTCCACACCCAGGATTTGTCTGAGCCGGCATTTGGTTTGAGTAGCATATCAGCATTGATGTAGTGGTTTGCACAGATCTTCAGGACCTGTTCCCTTCTCATAAGGAGGCGGACCTTTCCTTTAGAGCTGTGCTTTAGGATTTTAACGTTACCGATGCCCCGCTCCTTCCACTCTTTTGTGTCTGTGTCAAATCTAAACAGCTTTGCTCTATTGCAAAACATTTCCTCCTCCTCTTCCTCACCCGTCTTCACATCCACTTTATCAGGCAGGGGTACAATGGGTTCAAAGTGAGGACCATCCTCATCCTCCTCAACGTGAGTGCCGTCATTGTCACTCTCTGCTGCTCTTTCCTCTTCTGCTGCCGGCACGGCAACCCCAAACACTGGCTTGGTAACGTCACCAAATTTGAATGGCTGCTCTGTCTTTGCAAAAAGACTCCCAGTGGCTGTGCTTTGTGCAGGATCAGTAAAGGAGAAGCCGGCAACAGTTTTGTTGCCGAAGGTGAAGAGGCTTGTTTGGTTGGGGGGCTGCTCCTGGCCTGGAAGGTTATCTGGGGCAGTGTCCGTTTTGGTGGGAATTTCTGATGTAAGAAGACCAAGCAGGCTTTCACTGTGCTTGGCCTGGGAACCTGGGAAAGTGAAGTCTCCATCATTTGATTTGAAGTTGGAGTTGAATTTAAAACCAGATGGGGACCCTGACGGGGGAATTGCACCTGCTGCTCCAAAACTAGGCACTCTGGGGACTTCAGCGGGGGCCTGCTGGCTGAAGGACAGCTTCCCAAAGTCCATAGGCTTCCCGTCAATGCTCTTCGGTGGCTGCACAGGTACTACAGTTGGCTTGGTGAAGTAGCCAGGTTCAGGAAGGGGAGGGTTAGTAGTTGGCTGGGGTACACTCTGCCCATAATATTCTTCACTATATGGGGAAAGAAGGCTTGTGGCTGGTGATTCGAAGTGAAGAGGGGCACCAAAGACTGGTTCTTGAGGAGGGTAAATGCAGGCTGGGGCTGTCTGGAGTGGAGGAGTATGAGTAGGCTGCTGGTAGGCATACATATGCTGCTGAGGTGGCATACGGTTCATACCATACATTGGGCTCTGTAAAGACAATAACAAATATTGTCATCCTTATACTCTAAACAACTGTATTACTGTGGACTAGAGTTAAACCGTGATAATTACCTTAGTGGGGGTTACATTTGCTGCTGGGCGCAGGAGATACTGAGAGTTAGAAGCTGGAGACTGGTTGTAGTACACTGAGGGGGTTGTGGTGGAAACTTAAAAAAAAGATTTAAATACAAAAATATCTTGTTAATTGTGTACATTATTTCTGAACAGTACTTTAAAAAAACAAATACATGGATTGTTGACATTCTTTTATTGTTGCAGTGTGCTGACCTGTTAGGGGGGGTCCCGTGGTAGGACTGGACTGGGGTGAAGGGCTCCTGCAGGCCCTCGGCCCCATAACTCTCACCATACATTTTGTGATGAGGGGAGTCTGCGTTCCCTGACGAGTTGTGTCTCAGATCATGAACCTCATTCTACAAAACAAGGGGCTTAATGAGAACTAACACAATTGAACTTCTTTACAGAAAAATAAACTCACACTAAAATAAGAATATAAGCATCACACACCAAGTACTTTATATTCATTAAAAACTATCAAGTAGTTCCTGTAATTTTTAATAATAACTTTAACTGTAGGTCTTCACTCAAAACCTTGTATTTTAGAGACCTTCATAAGATATTCAAATCTTATCCCGTTTTCTTAATACACTTTATCATACTTCTTATCAGCGGCATCATTTACATTAAGCTATGATAAATTCAGTAGTACAACAACAGCCAAACCATACCAAGGGGAATAACTTAAGTGTAATATCTTATCCTAACCTTGAGGGCTTCAACTTGCTGACACAGCATTTGGAGGAGAATTTTCTGGTCCTCCACCCAATGAGGTTGTGTCTTGGGGGAAATCTGAATTAAAAGGGGGAAGAAATTATGAAAAGAAACTCACTTGTAATTTGAATGGTCTCCATGATTAAAACAAGGAGACATTTAATATATAAAAATACATAAAGTATTTTATTGGATTGTCTTCTGAATGACAACCAATAACCTGAACTTACCAGGTGTCTTTTTGAAGGAGAGATGAGGCTTTTGTTCGGTGAGGGAGTGGTAAACTTAATGTGTGATATAGTGGCCGAGGTTTCTGGGGGGTGAGCTGGGCTGGAATGGACTGGTCCTCTTCGTCTTGCCTCCTCCTCCTCTTCTTCATCCATACCCTCCGCACTCTCACCCAGCTGCTGGTTCACATCATTCAGGAGGTCCACAACTTCCTCCATGGAGACAGGCAGCTGTGACATGTATGAAATGGTTACACAGCTGAAGAGTTGTTCACATTAAACACATCAAAAATAAAAAAATGAGACTCACCCTCTCAATGTCATCTGCGTTAGCGTTGTAGATCTTAGACAGGTAGGTCCTAAACTTCCTCAGGAAAGTGATGCATCTGTCCTGGGTCTCTTCAACCCCGTTGCTGGCCTCTTCTGAAAGCCGCTGGTAGATCTGCCAAAGAAACACAGCACATTGGAGGAAACAAATAGCAGTTAGAAGTGTCCATATGATTTATGAACCAATTTGATATCACATATTGGCTAGACTGCCAATAATTAGAATAGGGATAAAGCCGGTTAATTTGTATAAAAACAACAATCATTTTTGGACTGCTGGAAAAACAATGATTGAACATAGACAGCCCTTGTTTCACCCAGACGGGGAAAGAGGAATGTATCTTGGTTATGTATAGAAGCATATTATTACCTGTGCTAACTGCCAGATGGATGACATGTTGTTGATGGTTTCCAAGGTAGCAATGGCCTCCTCCGTTTTGCCTTCAATGTCCAGAAGAGCCGCAAATGCAACCTTGGCTTCCTCTTCGTATCCCTTCACAGAAGAAATCTGCAAGGAACATGGACATGCACAGGAAAACATGTGTAAGCCAACCTGGTACTTTACAAACATTAACTTATAAATGATATCATATATAATAGCAGGGACTCATAAAGGCGCTAAAGATAAAAGGCTATCATAAAACAGGGCATGAGAAGTAAGAAATGGCAGGACCAAAAGCCATAACTTTAGGCTCAAGACAACACTGCCTCAGGATTTGAGAGGACAACATTTCAAATGATAAAATAATATTGTGTTAACCTGAATATCTTTGGAGGAAAAGTGCTTGAAGAGGGGCTCAAGTGGTTCTGGTATGCTGCGTCTGTTTTTGATCTTTTCCAACAGCGGATGTACAACTTTCCAGTAGTGAACACTTCGGCCGATGTACTCCTTCTGGTCGTAGTACGAGTTCACTCCGTCACCCTGGGTTATTAAACACAGAAGGAGAGAAGGTGAGCCTGCAATATTCACTAAAGCAGCATAGACAAACGCTTCATGCATTAAGGACACAAGTCAGTTCTTTGGTTGTTAAACAAATTCCACCATGAAACAATTGGACATACAGTCAGAGAATCAGCGCATGTGGCAGTTTGGACCAGGATGACATTAACAGTTGTAGGGGCAGTGACAGAAAGGAGCAGGTGGAGAGGCATGTGTGACTGTGCAGTTTTTCTGTCAAAGTGCTCTGCTGCACGTCAGTCTGTGTCCACAACTGGCCCCCACTGCTGATCTGTAGCGTGTTCAAGCACACTATCTCAGTAATGTTTCAAATAAAGACATTTAACCATAATAATGTTCATGCAGCAAAATAATAAAATATGTCACACGCTGTCGTACGGATGCAAACATTGAGGCCACTGAAGTCAGTGGTAATGGTTTAGGTATAAGTGTATGTGCAGTGGAAGGAAGCCAAGGAATTTGTGAGTGATTATCCCCAGTGCAGAACCCTGATAGTGTCAATGACATTATAGTTGCATGAATTCTGATATGAGACTTGTATTGCAAAATCAGACCTGTATTTTTTGGGGGATTACACATGAATTTTCCTACTCTGCATTCGGAAATAATTCGATATATCCTAAAAGATAGACTGGGGGAATTTGAAAGGATGTGGGGACCAATGGTTTCATTTATAAGGGGGACGGTCAGCTGAGATGCACTGCACAAACAATCGTTTTTGTAATGGCTTGGGTGGCACTGCTTGGGGAGGGAAGGGTGGGGGGTAGTCTGGGCTCATTTGCACCCTTTAAGTGTATTTATTTATTTTTATTATATATACTATTTAGTATGTTCTTTCCCACTATGACTATGTATGTCATTAAGTATGTTATTCCTGTCATGCTATGTGTTTTCTTTATTAATTCTTGTTGGCTGTTCTGTTTGTCTGTATGTTGAAAAAGGGAAGCATGATTTCCACCCCAAAGAAGTCTGTACTATTGCTTACACTTGTATGCTTCTTCTCAATACAAATATTTGAAACACATTGAATTTTCCTAAATCCTATTTGACAAGATCAGATTCCACAAGCGTTGTGCTGTAAACACAATGGTAAAAAACACACACAAAGAACACGCAAACCACAGTTTGAAAGTAGAGTTTGGTATACTGTAGAATGAGTCAAGCAAAAATGTCAGATATTGAAAGTCTCCTGCAACCCCACCGAAGATTCTGAACTCAAATATTGAAGACACATCCTTTATTTTTAGCTGGTTCACACTACATTTCTAGAAGCAATAGGCGCATTCACACCGCAGTACTTTTCCCACAAAGGTTCATGAGAACTTAGTTCATGAGAACTAAAGAGTTCTCATGAACTAAGTACAGATCGCGTTCACAACGGAATAAGTTCCTGGGGAAGGATTAGGCAAATGAAGCCGCTGACGTCACTTCTTCTTCTGCGTTGGATTTACTGGCAGGCCGCAAACAACTTCACGCCGAATACTGTCACCCCAAGTCCCCGGAGTTGGGGACTGGCTTCAGTAGAAGCTGCTGGGAGTCCCAGCAGCTTCTACTGAAGCCTTCCGAGTAAATCGCCAAAACGCCGACACCTCCTCATCTCCACCGCTCCCATGTTTTATTTTGTGTTGCCATAAGTTAGTCTCTCTGTGTTTGTGCGCTGGGCTAATGCTAATAATGCTAATGCGAGGATAATAAAATGGCGGCTTCACAAAACTTTTTGGGAGTTTTAAGGGGCGTGGTTTGCAATCCGCCCAGCCAATCAGACATAGGAACCTTTTTCTTCCACGAAAGTCCCTGCTCTCTAGCAGTGGGGTGAAAAGGTTCTCATGAACTAATTTTAGTTCTGGCTCTTTTTGGTGTGAACGCGACATTTCGGAACTATATCGGAACTAAAGTGGGAAAAGTACTGCGGTGTGAACCCGCCTAGTGTGCAGGGCTCTCGACTAACTTTTTTCCCCATCCTCCCGGAACTGTCCCGAAATACAATCTAAGCCGTCCCGAAATTAATGAGGACCGTCCCGAATTTAAAATGTTAGTTTTTCTACATTATCATTAGTTAAAATCATTCAAAGTGACCTTTAACATAAATAAAACATCATATAAATCATTAGATGATAATTCATCAACCTTTTTATTTGAGTAAATCATTCAATCACATAAACAAAGGCCAATTATATTTACACCAACGAGAAAATTACTCTAATATTGAATCCAATCAAGTCCCATCCAATTAACAAAACAATCCAACACTGTCCTGAAGACAGAACCCAGAGTAAGCACTAACCAGGATGACAGTCTGTAACACAGTCAGGAGACCTTTACAAACGGCCCCCGCCCCCTCGCACACAGACGGGAGAGAGAGATCTTGTCTGGATTGGAAAGCTCGAAAATACATCATAGACGCATGTTGTAGTCTTATTGCATATTAGAAACGGAGTTGATGAAAATAAAACTGCGATATAATGTGTATGTAGCAATAATACATATGACATATTTTTTAAATGTCTCCAGTACCGATAAAAAGTCCAATAATGTCGAAGCTTAACCTTACCACTGTCTTTAATAATTCCGGCCCGTTTAATACCGGGGCTCGGTACCCATCCCTACATGGGGAGAGGCGCAGCATATTGCTAAGGACTAAATACGATGGAGAGTTATCTTCTCAGCCTTATTACCCATAGGGGATGAAGAGGAGTAAGTAAATAAAGAGGCCGGCGCTCCAGGGTCTGGTTCTGCTGTGCGTTTTTGTGATTAACGGTAAAACATTTCAGAATTCCTCCACGGGATGCCATTGTACATCACTCAACCCGCGAAATACACACACTCAGTACATTGCTAGACCCGCGAATATGCGGGCCAGGAATTCGCAGGCACAGCTGTAGCTACGTGTGTGTATTTCGCGGGTTTCTAAATGTGCGTGTGTGTTTATGTTGACAAGGAGGTTTAATGTGCTACACAAAACATGCAGTCGGTTTCATTTTCATCGCCTTTTGTAGTAGAGTTAGCAGGGTATTTTTATTTTAACTCTCGTCCCAAAATTATTTTTTATCCTTCCCGATACTATTTTTTTCGGCCCGGGACGACGGGACGTCCTTAAGCTCGAGCCCTGGTGTGTATTTACCGTCTGGCTGAGACACTGGGCCCAGTGGATGGCCAGCGCTGGTTGGAGCCCATTTTTCTCTCCGGCCCTCAGAGTGCTCAGTCCGTGCTGCACAATCATCCGCAGTTTAGCCGACATGCCAGGACTACAAGGAGACATTTAACAAAAGCACTGAATACTAAACAGATACAAATATGAACACACAAATAAACAATTGCTCTGTTTGAACCCGTTTCTTTGACTTTGGGATGAAGTGGGGACAAAGAGTAGGTGAAGCAGGTAGCCAAGTGCTATAGTGAAAATGTCATGTTTCAGCCTTATCATTGAAATTGTCGCAAAGAGGTTCAACGTTGATTGAATCCTGGTTTGAACACTGTTCTTGCTTTAAATGTTTTTCTTAAGTTCAAACTGTTGAAAGCCAAAATATGTGGATCCATTAATAACTTTGATTAAGGGCATTAAGCGAAGACAATTCATGTTTAATGCTTACATTTATAAACTTAAAACTCTATCCATGTTTCACTAGTACAACTTATTTGCATACTCACTATGTAATGGTCATAATAATGATGATATGAGACCCTGTAACTGGTTGTTGTATGCCACTTAAAAGCTGATATTTTGGTAAACATACTGCATATTTGCACTTTTACTCACGCTGCTTGTTTGTGAATGAGGCTGTAGATGGCGTCCCACCACTCCCTCTGTCTGTCGGTGGTCAGGAGGCGGAGGAGAGGAAGGGGGAGGCAGCGAGGCTCGTACAGCTGCTGTTGTTGCTGCTGGTTCCCTCCGCTGTTGATCTTTGCAGTTTCCTGGAGCTGACAGTGGCTACAGAACACAACACCGTATAAAAACACCTGGGTGGAGTAAAGCAGACAAGAGACAAGAGGATTTAACATTTTGATAGATATTTGTGCAATTGCACACTGACCACAAGAACTGACAAGTTAAAGTGCTATTTTATCACAAAGTACCAGAGTACCAAGTCATTGTTTTGCAAGTCCGAGTCAAGTCTCAAGTCTTTGCGCTCAAGTCCGAGTCAAGTCTCAAGTCTTTGCGCTCAAGTCCGAGTCAAGTCTCAAGTCTTTGCGCTCAAGTCCGAGTCAAGTCTCAAGTCTTTGCGCTCAAGTCCGAGTCAAGTCTCAAGTCTTTGCGCTCAAGTCCGAGTCAAGTCTCAAGTCTTTGCGCTCAAGTCCGAGTCAAGTCTCAAGTCAGGATGGGCAAGTTCAAGTCAAGTCCTAAACTTTGACAAAACGAGTCTTAAACAAGTCATTATGTGCTTTTCAACAAATGTAATGACATCGATCAACAGAATAATACTTAATAATCAAATTGCTCTTTATTAGTCACATTAATAATTTAATAATCCATTTTCTCTCTGCTGGTAAAGTAACGTGTGTTTTTCTAATTTAAGAGGGATCCGTAAGGTAAGGCTACCGTGACGGTTTGATTCAGAAGGAGTTTAATGTATAAGATCCCTGATGTTGAGGTAACCAGAATGTTTATTTCCACTGTGTACAACATGTTATAAGGGACCCACAATCTATCTTTATGCAAGGGATAATGTGCAGCGAGGCGGTCTCTATAAAGAACACCTGCATCTAGATCCCTCTGCAGGTGGTACTTTAAGTATATTTTGATGCTATTACTTATACTTGTAACATTTTGAATGCAGGACTTTTTATTGTAACCGAGTATTCTTACACTCAGGTACTTTTACTCAAGTACAAGATCTGAACTTCTCCCACCTCTGACAATAAATCCTGAGTGGTAACCAAAAAAAAAAACTGCTCTGAAGGTTTGTGACGAAGGTAACTTCGTCACTGACGGCTTCAGGCCGGGTAATATTGCACTTTATTAGCGTGATTGCACAGTACAGTTGATGTCTGTGGCTGATGATTGTGTGCACCTGGTGTCCGGTCCTGGTCGTGGAACGACGGATCAGCTTTTTACTCTCGCAAGGATCCTGGAGGGGGCCTGGGAGTACGCTTATCCGGTCTACATGTGTTTTGTAGACTTGGAGAAGGCGTATGACCGAGTTCCCAGGGAGTTACTGTGGGAGGTGCTGCGGGAGTATGGGGTGAGGGGGTCTCTACTCAGGGCCATCCAATCTCTGTACTCCCAAAGCGAGAGCTGTGTCCGGGTCCTCGGCAGTAAGTCGGACCCATTTCCGGTGAGGGTTGGCCTCCGCCAGGGCTGCGCTTTGTCACCAATCCTGTTTGTAATATACATGGATCGGATTTCGAGGCGTAGTCATGGGGGAGGGGGTCTGCAGTTCGGTGGACTAAGGATTGCACCACTGCTTTTTGCAGATGATGTGGTTCTAATGGCTTCATCGGTCTGCGACCTTCAGCACTCACTGGATCGGTTCGCAACCGAGTGTGAAGCGGCTGGGATGAGGATCAGCACCTCCAAATCTGAGGCCATGGTTCTCAGCAGGAAACCGATGGACTGTCCACTCCAGGTAGGGAATGAGTCCTTACCCCAAGTGAAGGAGTTCAAGTATCTCGGGGTCTTGTTCTCGAGTGAGGGAACAATGGAGCGTGAGATGGGCCGGAGAATCGGAGGCAGCGGGAGCGGTACTGCAGTCGCTTTACCGCACCGTTGTGACGAAAAGGGAGCTGAGCCAGAAGGCAAAGCTCTCGGTCTTCCGGGCCATTTTCGTTCCTACCCCTCACCTATGGTCATGAAGGATGGGTCATGACCGAAAGAACGAGATCGCGGATACAAGCGGCCGAGATGGGTTTTCTCCGCAGGGTGGCTGGTGTCTCCCTTAGGGATAAGGTGAGAAGTTCGGTCATCAGGGAGGGACTCGGAGTTGAGCCGCTCCTCCTTCGCGTCGAAAGGAGCCAGTTGAGGTGGTTCGGGCACCTAGTTAGGATGCCACCTGGGCGCCTCCCTAGGGAGGTGTTCCAGGCACGTCCAGCTGGGAAGAGACCAAGGGGTAGACCTAGGACCAGGTGGAGGGATTATATCTCTTCGCTGGCCTGGGAGCGCCTTGGGATCCCCCAGTCAGAGCTGGTTGATGTCGCCAGGGAAAAGAAAGTTTGGGGCTCTCTGCTGGAACTGCTACCCCCGCGACCCGACCACGGATAAGCGGGAGAAGATGGATGGATGGATGGTGTCCGGTGTTGTCTCCTCCCCCCTCACCTGTGTCTTGTTGTGCTGATTGGAGTGTGTGTATTTAGGCTCTGTTTCCCTGTCTGTTGAGAGGCAGTGTGTGTGAGATCCTGGTGGCTGCAGGCTGGGCTCACGTGAACAGCAACAGCAGGATTGAGGCTGTGTGTAATGTGTTCATATTTTAATAAATGCCCACGTCGGGTTATATTTTTGGACGTTCTGCCTCTGCCTCCTTGCTTGGTCTGGGCTGCTCAACGGTCAGTTTCACAAGGTTATTTTCATTTTACAGATCCTGCACTCAGCTTTGCTTTCTCCAATATCATTGAAATGCAGCAGATGCTGCTTCTTTTTTCGGTTTTCGCTCATTTCTTGACTTTTTCCGACGCGCTTGCATTTAAATCCGTCTCCCCGTCGCTCTGTGCAGCTGGCCTGTACCACTACACCTGCTGCCTTTGGAGCGTCTGCCCCCCACCTTTCTTTCACATAATGGTATGATCCTAGTGTGTCCTCGCATATGATTGGCCGCATGGTGGCCCAGCTAAATAAAGACCCGCCCCTGCCTGCAAGGATTCTCAGCAAGAGTAGGAGCGGCTGAAGATTCTGCTTTCCCCGACGACGGGAGTCTGCTCTCCTAGCGGCATCTCGCGATCGGCGTGTTGGAGACCCCTCAATTAAAGTATCAAGTCACCTCAAGTCAGAAGGCTCAAGTCCAAGTCGAGTCTCAAGTCATCAAATTGGTGACTCGAGTCTGACTCGAGACCAAGTCATGTGACTCGAGTCCACACCTCTGCAAAGTACTGCTCGGTACAGTCGTTCACACATTTAATGTAGGCTCCATTTAACCATTGCATTTATGTATACATTATCATATAAAGCTATACTTTAAATCAGGGGTCGGCCACCATTGGCACCGTAACCAGTGGCACACTAGGAATAAGTGTGCAAAAATATTTAAATTGTATTTTCGGATCCTGAACGAGACCGCCGCCAGAGCGCGTCTACCCGTTACCTGCAGAAGGAAGCCATGCACGCAACGCAGCCCCGCTCTCTTTAACTCCAGGCGACTTTCTGCCGCTTTCCTCCGTGGTGCAGTTTCACCACAGAGGAAAGCACTTCACAAATTGCAGTACCCATAAGGAGCTGTACAAATGCCGCAGTTTTTGCGTGGCTGTGTCTTTAGTTGAAAGCCCAGTGGCGATCTGCTCATCTCTCATCGAAATAATATGCTACAAAGGGGCGGACTGGCCATCTGTGTGATGAACTTTCCTGTCGGCTCCCAGACCGTAGTCGAGGAAACAGGGGGGATGACTCTCTGCCGTCTCCCAGGGCAGAAGCAACAAGCTTCAGGTTCAATAACCCACTGTAGCTTAAATGACTGGAGAGAGACGAGCTCTTCTTGGGAGGCCGTTGCATTTATTTAGTTGTTCTTCTGTCTCACAAAATACATCACAGACCTGTTTTTCTGCTGCCTAGTTTCACTTCCAGAAACATACACACGCTCACTCACTCACTCACTCTCGCTCTACCATCCACACACATACCACACCCCTCTCTTAAAGGGACAGCGATCTCATCTCACTCTGCATGACCCTAATATCGGAAGAACGGAAGATCGTCCTTTTTATGCCGTTTAAACCAATTATTGAAATTCGCTTGTTAAATTCGTCATCATGTAAGTTGCGCTGACAGGTCCACACACTGCTTCCCAGCGAGGCTCCCCCGCCCTCCTGTTGACAGTCCACGAGCATCGAGCTCCCCCCCCGTTGATAATTCATGATCGTCGGCATGCCGATAACATTTTTTTTTTTAGAATGGCACTTCATATCAAAAAGGTTGCCGACCCCTGCTTTATATAATCCAGTGTTTCCCATACATTGATTTATTTGTGGCGGGCCGTGGACCACCCGAATAGGTTAAGTGGCCTTTGGCTTTTCTTGCCGGGGGTGGTACAAATAGAATCAAATTCTGTGGGAAACACTGTAATCAATTAATTATTTGTAAGTTCACAAAACACAAAGGAAACGTCACATAACAAAACATTATAATACGTTAGAGAAATTGAGGAAGAAAGAAAAGAGAACATTTTCTAACTTGTCCTCAGTATAAAACATTACACATACCCACTCACAAGTGACAGAATTCGCACAGCTAAGAAAGTTCAGCAGTTTAAATGAATAAACAGATTGCAGGTTCACGAGAACAGGCAAAAGTGCATCAATCATACAAGTACACAACATTATAGATTATTACGTTTTGTCATTTCCGAAAATGCATTGTTTGACTCAGCTGCTGATATCTGAAAATGACTTATTGAAAATGTTCTATGTAAGTTGTAGGAAAATGCGACATTTATGGCTAAAAGGAGGATGAATGAGATTGACAAATTCTATGTACCATTTCTTGTATTGAATGGTATAAATACATGTTCCTGTTATTTCACACCTTCCACACCTTGCATCATTTAATCTTTTTCAAACATTTGTAACACTCTTGGGATGCGGAGTGTATGGGAGATGAGGGAAAACTGTACATCTGTAACCTTCCCCTACAAAGCTTCATCTTGTGAAACTCTGTCCCACATGTGTCCACCTACCTCCAGGTCGAGCAGGCAGATGGATTCTGGTGCGTTGGTGTCCAGTTTGGAGGTGTCCAGAGTGAGCCTGGGAAAGAGCTGCTGGAGCCAGTCCCGCAGGGCCGGCCTCTGGGCCAGGAGGGTCCACTGGAGCCCCAGCCAGCCCAGATGTTGCAAGTCTCCAGCATGCAGCAGGATGGAGCCTGCAGAGGGGAGGACATCAAGGTTATTACAGTGCCTTTTAAGAAAGCTTTTCTATACGTGAGCTTTAACTAAATGGCAAATAAATGGTTAGGAAGGTTCGAATTGATTGCGAATTATTTATTGTTATTTGCCCAAAGGACACCATTTTAGTTTTTAAAGATAAAGATTGTGTTATTACTAGGGCTGCGCAATTAATTGCCCTTTTATTGATATCCTAATATCTAGTGTCTTTATTCAGTACAGATCCACCTAAAATACCGCACAATGATTATTTTTATGTTTTTCAAGGAAAATGGGAATAATAATGCAGCGTCAATCATTTCCTTGAATACTGTAAATTATATTGAAATTTCAATACTTGTCAAAATCATCGCAATTAGTACATTTTAATAATCGTGCAGTCCTTGTAATTACAATGCCAATTTTATTTGCCAATGATACAACTTCTGATACATACGGACTCGATGAAAACATCTAAATGCTAAAATATCTGCAAGATTTAACAATAAATGTGGACCTTAAAAACCCCTCAAGAGATCATGTAGCTACTTTAGTGCTCAGGCGGATAATAATTATAATAATGATAGTTTCGTACCAGCATCACATTTGGCGAGTTGAGAGAGCTCTGGAGTCATGGTGTTGATGGAACGAATGTCATCGTTGGCGATAAAGGAAGATGAGGTGGAGGCTTGTGGTCCAAACAGGAGTTCAAACAGAGAGTCCAGACCTTTAGGATTCCCAAACGCCTCCACCACCTATGCAGACAAATCATCAAATCAGGTACAATTCATTCATAAACATACACGTTCAGCATGTCAGTGATATGTCTGATGCAGGACCTTACATAGTTGTTAGAGGGAAGCATGCACCGTATCTTAGTTTCACAAGTTTGCACATGCAGACTCGGTCATGTACTTTTCATTCAAGCATACACAGGCTACAAAATATAGCTAAAGTGTATCCGAACACACAAACAGACCTCTCTGATCAAAGTGGATGAATCTGTGCTCAGATTGAGCAACATGTGTCCGGCCTGACTCTGTCGGTCGTTGGCCAGCATTTCCAGGAGCTGAGGGGCCGACTGGTCTCCTTTGGAGACTTTAGGCTTTGGTCTGGGGACCTGGTGGAAGGACAAAAAACAACAACTGTATTCAAATGTTTCTTCTCTTGGCTGCAGAAATAAAATCACTCAAATTCATCTACAAAAGGGAATTAGAGCGTTTAGCTTTTAATATCCATATTTAGGCTTTTTCCCCCGCTTAATATAAAAAGGGAACAATTTCCCACTTTATCAACACTTGAACACTGTTTCAAGCTGTTGCTTTTGTTTTTTAAAGTAAAAAGCTAAGGAAACATACAACATTATCATCTTTAAAACAGACTATTACATTTCTATAAAAGCGTAGTAAAAAAAAAAACAGCATGTGTAGAATTTTTTATAATTTGTTTTGGACATCTTAAAAGAAATCAGCCTGAACAAAAATATAACATATGTTAATGACTGTGGTATAAGGCTAGCCCTTTTTGTGTCCGTACCTGGTGTGCCAGCAGGTAGCAGAGTGCAACCAGGTCAATGATGGCCCTCCAGGTCTGTTGGTGATCCTGAGCCAGCTTCAGCAGCAGGGTGCCAGCATGCAGGTAGAGGTGACCTCGCATCTCCACAAACACCTCGCAAAGATCGTCTGCTTGCTGGCCAGCGATGCTGCTCAGCGTCTGCATAACCTGGTCAAAACTAAACACACACAAACACACTTTAACATACAGCCGTTCTTGCAGCCATGTAGTGGCTTTAGTGTAATCAGGGTATATGCAGGAATCCTGAAGTCAAATGTAATACCTTCCAAGACCTTTTTTAAGACCCTTTCCATACATTTTAAGACCTCATCGCCACTTTGAGTTTTAACCGGTTACATTGGCGACACACTTTACCTCACATTGACTATATACAGTATTGATTGTCCTTCCTCCTTATCTTCCAACCATTTGGACGCAAACTTGCATTTCCCCATAACGATGTTGTTTAACAACCGGCGTAAACGGGCCTTTGCGCTATCAAGCAGTGAGCGTGCGATGTCCTGTTCAGATGACGTCAAACCTAACGGGATGCCAGAAATAAACTACACAAAATCACACTACACACCTACGCAATGATTACATTCAGGCACACTTTAGAATGCAACCGCTTTGGACAATTTATATACTTATTGAAAACAAGCTACAAAATGTAATACCTTGGAAAATGCCGTTTAATACTTTTTAATAGCCTTAATTTTCGCTAAATTGATTTATCAACTTTTAATACTTTTTAAGACCCCGCGGACACCCTGGTAATACAATGAAACAAATAAAGGTGACGTGGTCACGTAAACAACCATGGTATAGTAATTAAAACGGTATGGTTTTTGTGAAAGACAACTTATTTGAACCCAAAGGCTCACCAAAAACCTGCCTTTTGACTTAAACTAAATTTGACTTACTTTACTTAATACACACTCTCGAAGACACAAGACAACCACCAAGTCAAACGTATTAACGTGTTAATGCCGTTAAAGTTTATTTAACATCCAAATTGCCTGATTTTTCTATTCGTCTTTTGTAAGTGTAGAGATTTTGACTTTAAACACGATTGTGATCAATAAGTTAGGATGTATACATACAGCATAAGAAAGTAACACATAGAAAGTGTGTTGGGCGGAATTGACCTACCCTGTGAGTGCATCGAGGCTGGGCTGCATGCTGCTCTGAGACAGTGTGATTCTCAGCAGGCCGCAGTGGGCCAACAGCAGCTCTCTCTGCAGCAGCCGACACATCTTGTCATTGCTAGTGACGCTGGGCTGAGCTAGATACTCCTGCAAAAAGGCCGTACATTTGTTTTTTGTGTTATTAGGAAGTTAGACTTAAAGATATGAAATACAGAACACCATAGAAGCTTTTAAAATGTAAACTTCTACTACTGCCATTTCTTGCTGACCTGCAGTGTGCGCACCACCACTGTGTACCAGTCCAGGCTGTTGCTCAGCATGCCCTTTTTCTCAGCAGCCAGGCAATGCTTAACGGCTTCATCCAGCCGTCCGTCCTGACAGAACAGCTGCACCAGCTTCACGTTAACGTGAGCGTCAGCCGGCCGCACTGCCAGCTCTGCCTGAAGGAGGTCGAACAACCGGTTCCATCCCGGCTGGCCCTGACGACTCAATAAACGCTCCTGTACAGAGCGGCATAGATAGACCAAAGACAGTCAGTGTGGCAGCCTCTCTTACTTTAAACAATATGCAAATATATGCTGACAAAGGAAAATCCTGTTCAGGAACATTTAGAAAATATAATTTAAATAAAGTGGGAGGGGTTAGAGTGAGTGTTTGAGTTCAAAACTAGTCAAAAGAGTGGCCTCAGATGGCAGTTTACTGATGCAGTGATTAAAGGAGGGATAACTGGAGACTCAGAAGAATGGAGATTCACCTTCAGGTTGAAGACTGCAGGGTTTCCTGGCAGGAGCTTGGCAGCTTTCTCCACCCAAAACTCTGCTCTGCTGTCACATTCCTGCTTACTGACCAGCAACTCGGCCACCTTCAGCACCAGGTCCCTCTGGCCTGGATTTAAGTCCACAGACCGCTGCAAACACACATAGAAGTGCAGACATACTAGTGTCAGTTTATACAAAAGCATTCAGTCAGGTTATCTAATTAAACGGCAATGCCCTTCCAAAAACAACATCTATAACATTAGAAATAAGTGGGAAACAATTATTTAAATTGTACGTCTAATGAATTCAATGTCAATTTATCAGTAGTGGAGGTCAGTTTATTTAAGGAATCCTCTCATGTCCATCGCATGCTCTGCCAGATGTTTCCTTTTTACTTTGTGATAACAGAAACTTGACACCTCCTCCTCACACTGTGATAAATACATGTCTGATTATTTCTATGTACAACAGAGTGCAGGCTACATTTATTTAGACTAGAGCTAGATGGATGTCAATGACCATAGGTATGCCTTCATTATGTTTTAGCCCGTATACTGAAACTCAAAGTCATAACAGCAAGAACTAATTATGCATGTGTACATTATTCTTTATTAATTAAGTGATATTGTTTTTAGTGCATAGCTGTTATTGCATTTATTTAGCTCTTTTCAATGGGACGTGACTGGCATAAGTGAGAAGTGTTTTGGCTAACCTGATACAGGTACACATTTATTCTGACACACCTAATTGGGAGTCTGACGTTAAAAATAAAAGGAAACTGAATGACTAGAAATAAGGAAGAGTCACATCCTGGCAGCCAAAGGATCTGTGATAATGCAAGACACAGATTTCCCTCCACGCCTCCACGGCTGCCTTGACATTCAATCATTTGTATGTATGTGTAATAGGAAGGGGAATGAAATGCCCATTACCTTACCTAAAATCCTGGCGGGAATGATCGTAGTTAACCAGGAACCGTGTTAACTGTTGCTGGTTAACTGCATTTATTCTTATTTTTTAATGAATCCCACCTAAATTGATGTGACATTATGAACCAATTTAATATTTCACGACAATTTATTTTACTATTAATTATTCTAAAGCTTATCACTGGTACTTTGTTTTATTCTAAATCGAATGTGTCGTGGAGCAAAAACAAAAATAATGTAAAATAAACTTATCTTGTAACTTAAACTGTAAAATGTCTCAATCCTGATGTAACAACAACTAAAAAAGATGGTACTTGAATTGTACAATACAGTTCATGATAAATAGGTTTGTAGCAGACTTCGATCATCTTTTTCTTTAGGAATAAAGGTGTTTTTTCAGTGACATCTTCTTCCTACCTTGTAACATCCTACTGCTTTGTTGATGTCTCCCTCTCTCTCGTAGAGCTGTCCAAGGAATTTGTGGGCTTTCGGATCTCTCTCCTGGACTTTGAGGTACTCTGATACATGTCTAAAAAGAGCAAAGAATATGCAAGATATAATATAAAAAGAGACTTCTTAAGAAGCTATAACACAAGAGAAAACCATGGGGAAGCTTGTGTGCTTACCTTTTTGCAAGTTCATATTCCTTGGCTTCAAAGTACAACTTGGCGAACAAAAACCCTTTGATGGGCTTCTGTGGAAAAAGAAACATTGAAGGTTCATTACAGTGAACCATTCAGCATGAGCAATGTTGTGAGTAATGGTCATCTTAATTATTTGTGCTTGTTATGTTAGCAAGCAGGCAAAGGGATGATGACATGGTAAAACAAATGACTCATACAAACATATTGTTATGGTTATAGGATTGTCTTCACCTCTTATTTTACCTTCCTTGCCAAATAGAGCGTGTGTTTAGGACAATATAGGTGTGTATTGTGTTGGTCACATCTATGGGTTCTTCACAACAAACACCTCAATATAAGTAATACAAACTCTGCTCTGTATTATATATCATTCGTACAGTTTAGTGTGACTCAGTGCCCTTATTCCTACAATGTCAAATAGCTCAAACTAGATAACTAAGTGGGCCTAGTGCTGTCAATTTCACCACCGTAAAGGATTCAGATAATGTTGATTGCAACTAAACGTAAAGTTGGTAGTGTACCAGTACAGTAACTTATGTTCACAAATAATATAGTCTGCTAAAAGGCAGACGATTTCTAAATAAAGGTTTGACATGAAGCACCTATCAACCGACATATATTATTGTTAACAAGGCGGTTGAAGCCATGTTGTTGTACAAGTAGCCAAAGTATATGGGAGTGACGGCTGAGTTAAGTAGCATGGCTACCTTAGCTAGCGCTGCTGCCGCGCGATTCAGTGCAAAGGGGAGGACACGACGAGCCGTTAACTGCCGGTTAGCTGGCACTGCTAGCCGGGGACCAGCGGTTACACGGAACACATAATACAACCTAACGGGTTTAACAGCAACTAAATCAAAACAAGAAGTACTGTTAAGTCGACTCTGGTTAGTTCTTCACACCGGCTGGCTGACACATGCTGGCTGACATGATGGCAGCAACATGCTAACATTAGCCCCGGTGGCTCAACTTACCTCTTTGAGTGAAGGAGAGGAACTCTGTACTGTGGAGACGTACCGGTCCACCTCAACCTTACTCCGCCGCATGACTTCCAAACAGAGAATTCTTCCAAAATGGCTTACTAATGGGCATGTATTACCGTGAATTCACAAAATATAAAAAAATGACATTAATATCGGTTACTCCGTAACGTTAACTCCCCATAGCGACATTGCGCACTCATTACCGTCAAATTGCAAGCGGGTCACGTGGGCCGTGAGTTCCCTTCCTAACCAATGAAAACCGAGAATTCAGTGACTCAATTTATTTTGAAGGAGAGGTGGTGGGCTGGCTGGGGGAACCTTCTGGACCTCGTACTTTTGGCATTAAAGTGTAATTGAAATATTCTGCAAGAAACACTATTTATGAAATTATTATAAATAACAACAATCAAACACCAATAGAAATGCACATAATATTTTGCAAACCATTTATGTTTCTTTATTGATATGGGGATGGGGAATATAGACATCCAGGTTGCATGCTATTTTTCAAAACATGCATATTGCCTTCATCAGTGTGAGTTAAAGTAGAGAGTGGATTAATCAAGTACTATGTGTCTACAGTGTTATTTCTGTGTTGTCTGTGCTTTATGCAGCTAAAATGGGGGGAAAAGTTGTACCACAACAGTTACTCAATGTCTTTTTTATCCTATATTCTTATCCGAGCAATGGTATCTTAGCATAAAACATCTGATTATTATTATTATTATATGCTTCAATATATCACGTGGAAACCATATATAACAACAAATTGTAATGTCATGTTACACTCCTAGAAAAGTAGGACAATGCAAATCAAAAACATACACACGGGTAGCATTGACATACATGTTTATTCAGATGCGTTGACAAAATGACCTTAGATAAAATGAAAAATAGTCTTGGACATGCACTTTGGTGTGATTACATGAATAAATATTGTTCCTTGACAAGAATTGTAATGATAAAATACAGAATAAAAGCATTGTTTGTCTGTGTAGAGTCATCTCAGTTGCCCTGGTAGTAAGATATGGGAACGGACGTTAAGAGGGCACTTGTAATTCTACATGACATTAAAACATTTTGTGACACAGATAGTTAAAGTATTACCAACAATGGCTTTGTATTTCCGTTAAATAGTGGAATGTGTGTTATTATCAAACTATTATGTCAAATATAAACGTTCTATGATGAAATTATGATGATTAGTGAAACTACTTTTCCATTAGGCAGTTGGCTTTCTCTCTCCTAAGAGGGTCTGAGCCCTGAGGAAGTCGCTACACCTCTCTAAGAGGATCACTTTCTCTGGATTAAAAACAGCAGAGACATCTAATAATACTCCTACATCCGGTTTCTGAACATGCTGCCAGACACACAGTTACCAGTTGCCATGCAATAAGTCCTGTTACTGTGAATCTCATTATGTTCAGTATTTGTTGACAGTATTTCAGAGGTGTTGCTTCATCATCTCTACTGTAACTTTAAAGCTGATGAAAAAAAACTCAACTGTTTACACTTGGGATATACATTTGTTGCTGCTGCATTATTTTATATTAGATTGTAGGGGTGAAAACTAGCAACTCAGTGTTCACATAGAGATTGTTTTACACATTTAATGCATTGCACATAAGAACTGCTGGCTGAGTTCATCATTGCAGCAAGCCAGTTCATCAAGACAGTATGATGTCGAAAATTCTAACTTTATAGAGCTAAACAAAATCTCATTTAGCATAATATTAAAGAAAATACACATTAATAATCTATAAAATAATACATGTTGGTGGAAAACAGGACATTATTGAGACACTATATATACACATTTAATAAAACTGTATTTTGCGGAACTGTCTTTGGGTTAACTCTGCTTTTATACGAGAGTATCAGTAAAATAAGTCAAACGTAATTTTCATTATGAAGCAAGGTGGCAAACAGTTTAACAGCCTTTTTTTTATTACTCTCATGTTTCTATGTTTTCTTAAAGCTAATATTCCATTTTGAAATACAGGACCAGGATTAATACATATAGTGAAATAAGGCAAGCATGTGAAAGATATACAGTGCAGTATTTATGTTTAAAGGCACTAAAGAGGTTAAAGTATAACCTGGCTGACTGACCAACAATCTGCCTGTTGGCCATCTGTCAGTTTCAGGCTAGATCAATTATCCTCTGCGATTGAAAGGACAAGAAGCGGTGTGTTCTGCTGAAATAACCGACCAAAATGTAACATACGATTGTCAATTCGGAATTGCATCTCTAATCTATTTGTCCCTTCCTATAGCTGCTCTGCTGTGTGTTTACTTCCGAGCAACAGTTTCAGAGAGCTTCTTCAGTCTCTTCTTCAGCTCCAGAGGGAACTTCTCGTAGCACTTCTTACACACGGGCTTCATGTCGAACTCCACAAACTTGTTCCTATGGAAGAGAGAGGGACAGACGCTGTTACAGTTTGGATGAAACCAGAACCCAGTGTGCTCTGATTGGTTAGCTGTCCTGCTCTGTTGTGATTGGTCAACTGGTTAAAGATACCCTACCCCTTAGCCTATCACGAACAATGTGTTGTCGCGCTAGCCAATAGAAGCACAAGTGTTACATAGTGATGCCACTATGTTATGAATGTAAACATAGGAGTTTGATGGACGCTATGAATAGAATGTTTTTTGTATAGTTCCTGACAAATAGCCTTTTATAGATTCAAATTGTTGATAAACCCAGTGAAAACATTCTGAATTGAATTTCCCCTATTGTGTGCATCTTTTAAAGCCACCATTTTGAAGCTAATTTCAAGGAAAACTTGGGAACATGTTAAAAAATCATGTTTGTGTAAACCTGGATACAGATATAAAGACACACATTTAAATCGATTTCTAGTAGCACATGGACTATTTTGTATAACTGCTTCAATTGCTTGAATGAAAATAATCATGTTTAGTTGTTTTCTGTAATTAATGCCTTTTTATTCCATTAACTCTGGCAGGCTCTCACCCCAGCTGTCCCAGAAAACATTTGCTCCAAGCAGTTAATCTCTGGCAGGACAGGGCACGTGTTGAACCTGGAGAGACCTCAGCACTTCCACAGCTGTGGCCAGAAAGCTGCCGGAAGTGATTACGGCTTTACTCTCTACGCCCAGACAGACCGGGAGTCTCGGAGTCCCAAGAAACAACGCAATTCCCTCACCATGTGACTGACCTGTTTGCATAGCAGCAGTAACAAGCTCTAATCCTAAACACTGTTTCAGGCTAAGAGGTATCAACTAATTTGTGTCCACTCAAACAATCTGTTCTTATTCACCTATTAAATGTTTCCCTTCATGATTTGACCTCCTAGACCACGTATTACAGGGATATGAGTAATAAAATGTTGGCATGGAGCATGCTTGAAAAATGATGAAAAAGTAACAACATAAGAACAGAAACAGAAAATAAAGATGGAAACTGACCAAAGGAAGAACAGTGGAAGTGAGGAGAAAGGAAAAAGAGCGGATCACAAACACATGGGTATCAGTGATTTCTTCTTCTTGTCTTTCACGTCGCGTTCACGCTTGGCCAGCCGGCGTTTCATGTCGTCCGGCAGGCGTTCGTAGCAGTGCTTACACACCGGCTTCAGATCCACCTCCACAAACTTATCCCTGACGGAGCAGGGAGGGGGGAGAGATGGGAAGGGTTGTGAAGGAGAAAGAGGAGGGAAGGAAGAGGCAATAATGGAGTGAAGAAGAAGGACGAGAAGGAAAGGAGAGAAGAAAGTTTGAGCAGGTAAAGGAAGGAAAGGTAAAGCAGGAGATACACACAAGGGGACAAAGAAGAGACATGATGAAGGGGGAGATGTGGAGCAAACAGTTCCCCAGACAAGGGATTAAGACTGCAGCAAATAGTCACAGATGCAGGAAAGTTGAGAAAGAGAAAATGTACAAGAGAAGAGTGGACTTCGCCTTGTGAGTCTTCAGAGACTTAAACTAATACTACATCTGTACCAAACATACTGTGATGGTGTATCTTATACGTGTGTATTACTTACTTGAGGGTGAGCTTGGTGTTGCAGGTAGAGCAGGCAAAACAGTTGACACACCAAGCCTTGTTGAGGGCAGACACCACTGATAAAAATAGAAGAAACACTCACATGAGACACTGCTCGAGGTTAAAATCATGTGACTAAAAGTTAAATGGATTCAGTCTGGAATTCAAAACATTTTCAAGTGAAATCTACAAGTCAAGCAATCGGCACTCGAGTCAATATAGAGATCAAAATACGTTACACAAAAAGTGCTCTGATAAACACTAATCTCATGAGCAGTCTACCCACTTAAACATTATATATTTCAAATGTTCTCACCATCTCCTTCAATAACACGATTGCAGTGGTAGCACACGTCTCCAAACAGCTGAGTGAGATGAAGGGAGAGAAACAGAGAGTGAGCAAAATCCAGCGCAGTCTCAATTTTTTTTTCATTTAATCATGGCTCATATAACATGCCATGGTCAAAAAACATGCAAACAAACACACGCTACGGAGGCATTTCAAAAACGTAGAATGGTTTAGGTGGGGAAAAATCGACTTACACTAGATGGAGTCGTTACACTGACTACATGTGGAACCCTCTAATGGAGCATAATTCAGACTGAGAGTTGTCAAAAGCAATTATTTTACAATCTTAAGGCAAACAAGCTGTGCAAACTGTAACTACTTCAAATATGTGTATTTACATAGTCATATTTGAATATTAAGAAGAGTTCAGAAACAGGAACATATATCTCCTCATTGGTTCAATGGTTCAGTTTTATTAAAACATTAACTTTAAAACAAATCACAATGTAGTTTTAGGAGACATTTCATGGCAGGAAAACCTAGCACAGCATGTTTTAATTTCTGACTGTGAGTTTAACATATTCCTGCTGAATGTTACCTGGTTATAGTGCGTCTCACAGTAGGCCAGGCCCTTGCGTTCGTAGTGACGGTGTCCCAGGAAGGGTTTCTCACACTTAGCACACACAAAATGCTGCAAACAAAGCCAAGGCCAAGCACACAGGGTTAGCACAGCAGTCAGTCAGTACATTATCACATCCCACAGACTGTGTTACTGGCAGCAGCACAGTCTGGTTTAGACATTATCAGGTCAGACCACAACAGCATCAGTGCAGTCCAGATGTCCTGTCACTGCGTCCAGGCAGGAGACAGAGAGGAGAGACGGTGGCAGGATAGTGAGCACTAGAGGGCGTGCTAATCCTCCTCACAGAGGTAT